TGCCGTACGTATTGGAGTATAAAATGAGCCTTTGGTCGTTAATAGATCACTGTTTTTGACTATTTGGTCGTTACTTTTCTTTGGTCCTTATCAAATTTTCTTGTTCCTTACGCTACGTCAAAAACTGTTTCAGTACTTCAAAACCTTTCTCAGCCATGGAAGTCTCTTTCAATTATCTGAATTAAACCTTCTTAATTCAATTGTTTTATTATTTTCCAAGACTCCTTTCCTCAGCAAAAAGAAAATTAAACTAACAAGCGTCTTTTTGACATTTATCTCATGCCGTGGTATTTAATCTATGTGACGTAATTATTATTTTTTTCTTCCTTTTGGTAGGGATAATTGTTATTTTTCTAAGATAAAACTTGTATTATTTTGAGGTTCATGTTATTGTGTGAAATTAAAAATTAGACAAAACGACCCAATGCTGTTATTAATAATGAAGAAAATATTACTTAAAGTTTGCGTTGTTATTATTACTAATTTTACATTTGGGGTTAGAGATTTGAAGTCAAAACCTTAATTATGTCAACGTAGGTGTAATTTTTTTTTTTTTTTGGCTGCTCAAGGTAGGTGTAAATTTAGAGGATGTTTGGTTCATAGATTCAGAACTATTCTCGGTTTACATGTGTTTTTTATGAAATAAAATACTATAGCGACTCACGAACTATGATTCGAATTAGGGCATGAATCCACCAACCAAACTACGCATTAGTAATACTTAACTTTTACAAATTAATCCCCAAATGGTTGTGTTTTTTTACCATTTTGATACTTGACAGTATAATTGGGGTAGGATTTCTGAAATTTCACCAAGGGATCATGTTCCAATCGTGCAATAACTAAAAGTTTTTTACGGAAATAGTTACGTTAAATGCAAAATATTATGTTCGTTATTGTTAAAAACTCTTAAAAAAAATAGAATATTTTACATTTAAGGTAACCATTTTTGTAAAAATTTTATTTACCATATAATTGAGATGTGATTATCTTTAAGAAATTTTAAAAGTCACTCTTCAAAAATCTAAAATCAAAATTCAAAGAGTAATTTATTAAAATTAAAAGTTTAAAAACTAAAATGACGCAACGCTTAATTTCAAGAACTAACACTATTAATACTGATCCTTACCACTAAACTAAACCTTTAATCACTAAATTTTAAGATAATTTGAACAAGGTAAAAGTTGGTGTGCAAGACTTTTGACGAACGATCGAATATCCAAATTTCACCATTTACAATAATAGAGAAATTTGATGAAGATAATTTGAACAAGGTAAAAGTGGGTGTGCGAGACTCTTGACGAATGATCGAATATCCAAATTTCACCATTTACAATAATAGAGTTGTATCAAAATTTCCATTGCAGCCCCTTATTGTCGCCAAGTGAAAAATAAAGATTGTGCAATAAAGCAGTGGGAAAACAATCTTTTCAGTATTTGGGCTAGAAAAAGCCTATTTTTTATTTTAATTTTGACGAAAAGAATGGACTTTTTTTGTTTTTTTGTTTTTAAATTCAAGTAAAACAAGTTTGTCAAAAGCAAGAGGACAACAAGTGCATTCCTAGTTTTCTCCCATCTATCTCTAGCTTTCTTCATCTCGCTATATGATAGTTACTTTCTTCATATAAGTTCGTGAGATGTTCGGTTAGTACAATTTTCTGCACTATTTTTGATCGGGTGAATAGAACTTTTATCCTAATATAATTGCATTCTGAACTAATTTGTTACTTATTTATTATTCTTACAAACTCCATCAAATTGATGGTATTCTAATACTACCAAGCTAGGTTTAGTAGCTTGTTTTGTATGGTATTGTATTGTGTTGTATTGTCATAACACAATACGGTGTTTAGTGTCATTACGTATTGTATAAGGGGTAAAAATGTAAAATTTTAACATTTTTAGGATAAAATGAAAATTTTCAAAAATTTTGCATAGAAATATAACTTTTCAAAAGTTTTGGGATAGAATGTAATTTTATAAAAATTTTATGGTCAAAATATAATTTTCTAAAAATTTAGGGTCAAAATGTAATTTTTAAAAAATATAAATTTGTATTATGCCTCCTCAAAACTTTAAACAATTATAAGTTCCGACATGACTCTGTCTCGGCCAGACCTCGATCCCCGGTCGTGTCCAACCTTAACATGAATTATAGACCGATATAGAATAATACAATTCAATATGCTAAAAATGAGTTGTATTCAATAGTACGACATAAATCGTATTATTTTACTATTCGTATTAATTTATACAATACAATAGTCACAGTAAATATTATATTAATGTATTATTATATAATACAGTACTCTAATACGGTCAAACAAACATGCCTCTAGAGTTTTAAAATATTTGTCTAAAAACATATCTAATGCTGTAGTTCTGTAATTTTTTCGGACTAGAAATGAAACCAAAATTTAAACTAAACTAAACTTACAACATAATGTCTTGAATTTGTCTCTCTTTGCGTGCATAATTTTGTATATTTTACTATCTTTTTTATTCTTCTCCTTAATGAATTAAGCTTATAATAGAATTATCAGCAAAAAAAGAAAAAAAAAAAGGCTATAATAGAATTTAGTTGAATTTTTAAAATTTAGACTCTCCTGAATATCAGTTTAGGTAGTATTATAGTTGTTGTTGTTGTTTTTTTTTTTTTTTTTTTTTTTTTTTGGGTTTATATGGGGTTTCAAGCATAAAATAGAAGTGCATTTAAAAGTTAAGACTTTATAACTAAAATCGTTTGAAGAATTCTAGCCTAATATTACAATTTAGAAGAGAGGACAAGCAACAAAACTGTTTTTTTGGAAGGGTACAAAAATAGAAGGATTCATTGGGCCTGCCGGGGGAAGCTGCCCTAGATATCAGGTCAGTGTGATAATAATTGTGGAGTTTGAAAGAATTGTTGTTAATTAAAACAGTTGTTATATAAAGTAACAAGAGCTTTTGGGTTAAATCAAAAAAATTAAATTACCGGTAGCCGTTATATTTATATTAAAAATTATTTATTCTGTGTATTTTTTTAATTTAATGTAATTTTAACATAATTCAACAGTTAAAAATTAAAACTATCAATAAAATTAGACTACAAGAAAAACTCCCTAAATAACACCTATGTTTAATAAACTGTAATTTTAAAAGGTTTTAGTGACCAATAATATTGATAAATTTACTGTGATTAGGATGAGAGATGTTAAAGAGGTTACGTATCACAGGAATGTCAATCCAGTAGGGCAACTTGATAATTAATATACATTTGGTTAGAAAAAAAAAAAAGGGGGAGATAGTTGTTTAGAATTTAAAAATCTGCGAAAAAGGGTGATCACTGATTTTTAGTTTATATGGGGTTTCAAGCTTAAAATATAAGTGCATTTAAAAGTTAAGACTTGGGCCATAAGAGAAAACAAATAAATAAAGTTACTTTAAAAAAAAATCAAAGTTAATATTAAGGGAGAAGATCTAATAAAGTACTTAGAGATATTAGTTCAGAGTTTTGTTCAATGTGATGGTTTTTCGTTTGTTTTCTAAAAAAACCAAATTTTTAATTTTTTAGGAGGTAGAAATATATATACAAAAATATAAAGAATGAAAAGTTGAGTGGGGCCTTAGGCGTTTTTTCCCTTCGTCCCTGGTTTTAGATGAAGGGATACTATATGAAAGTATTCCTAGTTCCCTGCAAACTTCAAATATTATATCTGGTTAAAGTCACATAAAGATAAAATAATAGAGAAAATTAATATATATATATAATATAGTTTGTACTACTTTATTTGGGAAAATTTATGGTAGAACATTCATTTTTATTACATGCATAGATCTAACTGTTAAAAAACTAATCAAATGGTTAAAAAAAAAAAAAAACAGTTTCCTACGGTGGAGTAAAAATACTTGTCCCACTCTAACAATTAAAACCCTTTCTTCTAGTAGAAAGCTTACGTTAAAACTTTATGATTACTTCAACAAACAATGTGATCTGCCTACTACCAATGATTCTAATAGCATTTGCAGGAAACAACTCAAAAACGATGAAAATTAAACTTTATGATTAATATCTTTTAAACGATTGAAGTAAATAACATATTCTATTAAACGTAAAAAATTTATTTAAACTGGATTAATAAATATTTACAAGTAAATATGCTATTTACTTTAATTGTTTTTTTTTTAATATGCAAATTAATTTAAAAAGGTTTCATAAACATTATTTGCCTCTTTTATCCCTAGAAACACTTTACATAGATCTCATATAAAAACTGTTCTCATTAATATTGTTCGCTTTTGACGTCTAAATTCCAGTGTAACAAAATGAAGTGATTGAACCGGATTCCTTGTAAAAGCAAGCAATAAGAAGAATACATTCACCTCCTTAATTAGTATTTTGTGAACCTCTAAACATAATAATTATCTGCACTTTTCTACAAGTTCTGTACGAGAAACAGATTAAAATCAAGCAGTAAATTTTGGTGACTGAAATTCTAATTTACAGGTTACTGCAACATATGTATATAGAATCAGCATTTTTTCTGTTTAATATACTTTTATTTGAAAAAAGAAAACGAAATCGTAGCATTACTGTATACCAATACAAAGTAATGGATAAGAATGAAAGATTTTCTCACCATCTGTTTCAAAACGAGCGTTAATGTGACAACTAAAAAAAAAAAGACAAAAACAAAATATATATATATATATATATATATATATATATTGGGACCTAAGTGTTTCCGAAACGAATTAGACAACCTCAAATATATATGGATGAGAAATCCTAAGCATATCTCATGTCTCCAACATAACAGTCATTTCTATTCTTTTTTCTTTCTTCTTCTTTTTTGTTTTTTGCGGAAATATTTTGTTTCTTTCTATTTTTAATTTTATCAACTTGATCTTAGTAATTATCTCCAATTTTATTACATTTTCATGGGGAAAAAAAATTATTCCTTGAGAGCGTGTTACTTGCCAAATTATTTTCTATCATAATGGTTCTACATGGTCTAAAAAGCAGCATAAAAGAAGATAAGAGAATTTGTTTATAAAAGCAGTACTTCATCATCATCATAGCAAACTCAATGAAATTAAAAGTAGACTTGTATGTGTGGTGTAGATCAACAAACCTACTATTCTTCCAAACAGGTTTGAAGGCCGCATTGCGAAAGAGCGTGCCGTGTCAAATTAGTCCCAATCCTGCAGATTGGACAAAGATCCAAAACAGGGGATCTAAAAATCTAATATGTGTTAACTAAACATGCATTAACCGTAACGTGTATTAACGGTTTCGGCACAATTTTCTCACGTAATACGACATATACGAAATACAAACTATACCAAATCATGTAATTATCTCTGGGGTCGAGTCCAGAGAGTTAATTACGCAACAAGACTCGAGTAATATACTGGTCCTATATCCACCAGGCTTCACACCATCAAACAAATTATATAGCAAAGAAAAACACTTAAAATATCATATTTCTACCATATTGATCTCCTCCATCTTCATTTCCACTGCAATTAGGAGGCCAACTTGTTTTAGTATTACTCCTTCACTGACACCTTGAGATAATCAATCTGCTCAAGTTAAGCAAGAATATAATCAAATTAATATGTGTGAAATGACTTAAGTTTCTGGCTTCAGAATTTTCAACCTCTAGAAAAAACGTTTCAAGATTTCAACTTTTCTATACAGGATAAAATGAAGAAAGTATACATTGATCATATGCAAACCTTACTTCCGTTCCGGCCATTTCTTTGACACCATAATTGCAGCGCAACGAGATGGAGTAAATATTGAATAGGATCTCTTTTGAAATCAAACTTCATCAAGGCTGGATTCATCATCATCATCATCATCATCAGAACTCTAACTCCTAATTAGAAGCAAACAATCTCACTTTACTTTGATGAAAAGAACATAAAAAAAACGCAAGAAGCCGAGAAAATTAATAATGGAAGGAATCATTAATTACCATCTGGTTTGAAATAAGGTTGTAGCAAAAGTCTATAATCTAGCAGCCCGGGAAGAGGTACCTTCTCTAGAATCATGAACTTCCTGAAATTATAATCATTAAACAAATTACATTTTAATTGTATCAATAAATCTAGGCGTAACGCTACTTGTAATAATTTATTAGGGGCAGTATCCACAATATGCAGGTTGAAAATATGTGGCAGCTTGCTGGCCTTTTATGTTTTTAAATGACAATAAGACATTATAGCGATTGAATATAGCTTTATGACACATACCGTTTCAGTGAACAACTCTTGTAATGTCAAATTTGAATCATCCTCCCAAAGCTTTCTCACGGTTGTATTAACATCACCATCCCAACGTTCTCGGCGTACAGATTCAGGAGACATTTTGCTATCTTCATTAACATCATCACTATTGCTGTAAGTAGATTGTGATCTCCATCCATCAATGATTGTATGTAACATTGGGGTGCTTATATTTCCACTGGAGAAAGCCCTCATCTCAGGGCATCTACTCACAAATAATTCCCCCAGCTTTGGAAGTCTTATGTCAGTATTTCCTGAATAGAAGCTTTCAAGATGCGGTAAAGTTTGAAGCTCTAAAATCTTCAATTTTGGGAAAACAAATTCATGATCATGTTCACGCTTTGTTGTTTCATTTTCCCTATAATCCTCGATTATTGTTGTCATCCTGTTGCAATCAGTTATTATCATTTCTTCGAGTTGTACCAGACTAGTGGCTATTGTGGAAGCTAATAAATATGTCAATCGATGGCATTCTGATACTTCTAGAATTCTCAAATTTCGGAAGGACACAGATAAAATTTTTGAAGGTCGTATACGTAAGGCGTCGCCTGCTGTTTGAGCAATAACCTCTGGCTCACCAAGCAGATGCCTCAGCTTAGGAATATCATACAAACTTAGCTCCGTTAAACTTGCGATAAGCTCTCCATCATATTCTTGTGTGATACCAAGTTGTAGAGCCTTACTTGTTATATCTATGAAAAAACCATACAATGCAAGTCTCCTGAGATTATGGTATCTGTGCAAAAGTTTGAAAATCGAAAGACCAATTGGTTTATCCTGAGTTATGCATTCCATCTCAAGTTCTTTTAGGTTGCAACGGGGTACGTCACTTGAAGGTGGACTCATGTCGAGTATCTCATTTATAGCTTCGCTCCGTCCAGTATTCAGATATTCAAGGTCAGGCATGATAACCTAATGAAATGAATATAGAAAATATTAGTAATAAAAAGAAAAAGTTGGATTTATAGCCATGAACATCATGAAATTTTAATCACGAAAGAATTTAATATATCCAAGTGACACACTACTTGTAATCCCAAATTTATTAGGGGCAGTATCCACATAATGCAGCATGACAACTTGTGGCAGCATGCAGGCCTTTAATGTTTATATAAAAATATATAGAATGGCAAGAAGAAATTATATCCAATAAATATAATTTAATGACATACCGTTTCGGCAAATAAGTGTTGCAATGCCAAATTTGAATCATCCTCCCAGAGCTTTCTCACGGTTGTATTAACATCACCATCCCAACGTTTTTGTACGGGTTCAACAAACATTCTGTGCTCTTCAAAATCAATGTCATTACTATTGCCATCAGTTGGTTGTGAACTCGATTCATCTTCTATAAGTAGATCGTTGTGATCTCCAAAATCGACGTCACTCGATTCAATATCTTGTACTTCTATTCTGTTGGAGAAAGTCCTCACTGTATCCAAAATTGAGGTACTTACTATTCCGCAGGAGAAAGTACTCATCTCAGGGCATCTACTCACAACTAGTTCCTTCAACCTTGGAAATCTTATGACATTATTTCCTGAATAGAAGCTCCCAAGATTCGGTAAATGGTGAAGCACTAAAATCTCCAGTCGCGTGAAAACTAGTTCATGATTATCATGTTCACCCCCAGTTATTTCACCTTCCCTATAATCCCCAATTACTTCTATCATTCTGTTGCAATTAGTTATTGTCATTCGTTGGAGTTGCACCAGACTCGCCACTGTCGACCGAGTTAACAAATATGTCAATCGATGGCCAAATGACACTTCCAAAATTGTCAAATTTTGGAAACACGCAAACAAATTTGTTGGTTGAGCATTTTCTGATTCCCCAAACAGATATCTTAATTTAGGAACATTATCCAACTTCAGCATCTTTAAATTTGCAATCAGTTGTCCATCATATTCTTGTGCAGAAGTGACAAAAAAACCCTTCAATGTAAGTTTCTCAAGATTCTGACATCTTTGAAGAAGATCAAAAATTGGGAGAGCGATTGGTTTATCACGAGTTCTACAGTTCAGCTCCAGTTCTTTTAGCTGGTTGCTAAGGGGAAGTACTAAAACTGTACTTGAAGATTGACTCATGTTGAGTTGTTCGTTTATGGCATTGCTCCAATCACTTTCCAGATATTCAAGAACAGGCAAAATAACCTAACGAAACATTACAGAAATTGTAACCAAACAAACTTAATTACATTTAACAAATTGAAATAGAGTGAACTAGATAGACGAGCATTCTTAGTATTTATTATTAACAAATTAATAGTGACAGTTTTTAAAGCTAGATCATGATCTTAACTACAAAAAATATATAAATCTTCCGGAGCTATCGGATCATTTACGGAAGTGAGCAAACACACACGCACACACATGTATACAACTATATAGAAGTGTATACAACTATCAACAACGCTTCCACTTTCGATCAAAACGGCTACGTTTTTGTTGAGAGTGTCGTTCTCTTTTATTTTTTAACCCTTCTGTGTTTGTTCTTTTATCTTTTAGCTCCCACCCACCCCAACTTCCCCCCCTCCCCTTTTTTTTAATATATTTTAGTCATTCCCTTCTTTTTTTTTTTTCTTGTAGTCCTTCCTCTTTTCTTTTCTTTTTTTTTTTCTTTCAATTCTTTATGTGCTTCCTTTTTTTTTTTTACCTTCTATCTCTGTTAAAATTATTTTTTTTAACAATATTCCCCCAAGTGCTATTTATTAAATGTGACATTTACAATTTCCCATTAAATTTTTTTTTTTCTAAAGTGTGTCCTATTTAAATATGTTTTTCATTCTCATAAGTACCTGTAAGTAGTTCTCCATCTCCTTTTTTTTCCCTTGTTAAAATAAACGTTTTTTTTTTTTTTTTTTAAAATGTCCCTACCTAATTAATATTTCTTGTATAGTCCTCTAAAATATTACTCCTTCAAGTTTTGATCCTTCAAACATGTCTCGACTCAATTTTTCCTTTCTCAGTTAATGTTTTGTCATAGATACGTGTTCTCCAATTTACCCCTATTAAAATCATAATTCCCATATGTGTAATGTTAGATTAAACATGTCATCATAAATATTTTTTTCTTAATTGTACACCGAAATAATTATTCAAAAACGTATCCCTACTTAATCTTTTAAATATGTACCTCCTAATTAATTTGCTATATGACTTGCCCACTAAATTTACTTTCTTTAAATATGCTCTACTTGCCTATACGCACTCAATACTCAAGAAACACTAATATTTTAATTGAAACGACCATTTCAACCCATTTATTTTGGTTTTTTTTTTTTTAAGATGTGCGTAATTTTCTCTTCTAACTCTTCCTTTTAAAATAATTTTTCTTGAATGTACCCCTACTTACATATTTTTCTTATATTGTTTCTAGATTATACTGGTTTTCAAATGTGGTCCTTATGAATACTTTTTCACTTCCTAATCGCCCTTCCAACATATTTTTTCTCAAATATGTCCTACTTAAAGATCTCTTCCTCTTCCCCATCAAATACTATTTTCTCAAAGGTATCTCCTAAATAATTTACTTCCTAATTTTGTCTCACTAATTTTTTTTTAAACCTATTCTACTTCAATACTTTTTTTACGATATCTTATTCTTTAACAAAATAAAAATAATAAAAAAACTTAAAATAAAATCATTCTCATATTTTATAAATATTAAGAAACTAAATAAGCACGTGCATAATATGTGCTTTCTAACTAGTATATATATATATATATTGAAATGTTCAAATGAGTGTTTATTTATTATTATTGCCTTTAACTTGCTTGAATATTTTAGCAATTTAATTTATGAGCATTTTTCTTTTTGTGGGGGCTAAGAATGTCATTTACTTGTGAACGGCGAAACATTGCGGTAAGCAATATATGTGCCAACTACCAAAGTAAGAAAATTATCATGTCTTATTTGATGAGTGGTTGTTGACACAAATAATAATAATAATAATAATAATAAACACACACGCATACACAGACGAGCTTATTAAAACTGGATTTCTTATATTCATTTTGGAAAGAAAAAAAAATGGTTGTCTTAACCCAGATATGAAGTTCTATAATATGGTTGTCTTAACAGTGATACTTTTGTTTTAGTTTTAAATATCAAAGTACTTAACAACGAAGTTAGTAAAAAATAGAATAATATGTACACACAGATGTGACAGGATTTAGAAATATATATGATTAACAAAAGGTACTAATTACCTTTTCACTGAAGAAAGGTTGTGTAATTGATGAATGATTGCCTTCTTCATTGTCAACTGATACCTCCATTATTGGCGTGGAACAAGTGAAAAATGTCTTCAATTCAGGACAATTTTGAATTTTAAACATTGATAAGGATTTAAACTCGAGGCAATTTCCAGTCACGAATGTCTTCATTTTAGGACAGTGTCGGATAGTCAACACTAATAAGGATTCGAATTTAATGCAATCTCCAACACAAAAATTTCCAAGGGCCGGAAGATTATAAAGCTTGAGACATGTAAGTTTAGGGAACAAATTCTTCCCCAACCATCCTTCCTCTTCCAAATTCTTCATGACCACAATATCTTCCATCACTTCACAATCTTTTACATGTAGGTACTCCAATTTTACGAGCCTTTCGGCTATGAAAAAAGGGAATAGATACTTCAAATTATTGCATGTACTAACATTTAACCTTGTTAAATTGTCCATGTAAGAAGTTGTTCGAAGCTGGAAGTCTAGCCATAAAATTTGAACATTGATCCCAAATAAAGTCAAATTCTCCAAGCTGGGAAACTCAAGCTGCAAAAGATAAATTAGTGACTTAAAGACTTGAAAAATATGCACCACGTCATATGGTACAATTTTGAATAGAACTATAAAATCTATAATGGAGATGGAAGTTTAACGTTGGAGCAAAATTGGTTTTTGAGAATAAGTGTATAAATTATAGACATGTGATTAATCATGTAAAGAAGCAAAAAAATAGAGTTGCTTACTATATATATATACCTTCTCACAAAATAAAGGGATTGGTGACTGTACTGATGAAGACCCGCAAGTTGCCTCAGACTCAGACCAACTGATGAATTGAACAAACTTTGGTAAAGATTGTAAAATCAACGAGTGCAGTTCAAGAAATTCAACCACATGGTGTGTAGCTTCATCGCTGATGATGTGGGCATCATTTTCTCTCCCGTGGCCGACTACCTCCTCCATCATATCACAGTCCCTCACTTGTATATATTCAAGTCTTTTGGCGATAGACAAAGGGAAGAGATTCTTCAATTTATCACAATTTGTCACATAGACCTCCCTCAGTTTATTAAATGAATCTTGTGGGAGCTTACCCTGACATATCCTTTCCAAGTTTGTTAATTTCCCGAGGCGCAGTGTTTCCAACATTGGAAAGGCCTTACGGAGATGAATCTGCTGGTCCACAGTACAATTAACGATGTATTGAACGCTAACATTGCGACTGAATTCAAGACGCTTCAAGTCGGAAAACCCCTCATTGTCTAGATCACAAACTACATTCTTGACACCTACTAATCCATCCAATGATAACGCTTCTGACCTTTTCACCAACGATTCAAGACCAAGTTCTTTTAATTGACTTCTTTCTTGGAGCGTTAGCTCCAATGACCTTGCAACTCCATATAGTCTTGGATCCCAGAAAGAATGCATTGAGCTACCGATACATATTCTATACCGCTCTAACTCTTCACTAAACATGAAATGTTTAGGAAAAGTTTTGGAATGTGGTACTCTTAACGATAAAGAAGTGAGTTGCGGCAAATTCACTAGTTCAGCAAGATTCGCATTACTTCTTCTGCAGACAGTGATTTCTCCAGCCTCCCATTTATCAAAGCTATAAGGGATGTGCAGCTCCTCTAGTCGTATCAAGCTTGAGATGACATTCGGCTCAATCAGTTCAAGAGCGTTACAACCTTCTAAATTTAACAGTTGTAAACGATTTAGTTGTCCTACTTCTATGGGCAACTGCTTAATGGTGGAGTATGAAAGATCAAGAATTATTAAACACGTTAGATCTCCAATTAACTTTACATCTCCAAGTACACAATAACGTAGACATAAGGTTTGGAGATTCTGAAGTGAATGCAAGGATGGAGGTATGGGTACTAATTCTGCTTCACAGAAAAGCAAAGATTTAAGATGATGTCTACTTTTTTCAAAAAAGTGCTTTGGAATTGGCATCCTTCTCTCCATCCTTCCAAACGCATCAGAAACAAGAAATAATGACTCCAGTTGCGGACAGTCCAACCTTTCAGGAAGTTGAGTATCAGAACTTTCATATCGTAGTGATATTACTTTTGAGTCTTTGAGGTTTTTCCCATTCAGACAATCTTCCAACTTATCTATAACAATACTGTGCATATCTCTCTCCTCTGATGCAATTGATAAGGCAACATCACGAATAACGTCATGCATTCTGACCGCAACACAGTCAAAGCCATAACCATCCAACAACAAGCACCGAGCTTTTAGTCTAACAACCAATGAGTGGACCCTCGTTCTTGCATCTGATAACGTATGGACGTTATGAAACAAGCCCCAACCCACGCCAATCATGATTAGATCCTGGATGCGTATATTGCTATCTTCTCCATGTAGACTGCATAGCAACAACAATGACTTCTGTTCATCACTTAAAGAGTCATAACTCAGCCTTATACTCCGGTAAACCTCTCTTAGCGGTTCATCAATGTTCGTTGGGGAAATAATATTTCGTAGTCGCCTCAATGTATCCCTCCAAACGTCCAAGCTATCCTGACCTTTTAATGTTGAGGCAACTGTTGTGATAGCTAGTGGCAAGCCTCCACATTCACCAACGACATCAATTGCCAATCTTTTGAAATCCGGTCGTTCAACAATATCACCTACGATTCCCTGAAACAAGTTCATTGCTTCCTCGCCAAATATGCTATAAACTTGGAAACTCTTCTCAACTCCCATAGAACGTACAACATCTAGAGATCTAGAAGTCATCAATATCTTGCATCCATGGTGCTCAAAGGGTATCCCAACCTCTAGCAAATCAAGTATCTCCCATATATCATCTAAAATAATGAGAATACGCTTTTCTTCTCTCAATCGACGTTGTAGCCGATCTGCTCTTGCCGGCACGCTTTCAACCTCTTTAATGTCTAGATTTATCTTCTCTGCAATTTCTTGTTGGAATCTCCTAGGATCTGGAGTTTGCGATATAGTCGTCATAGCCACCTCTGTGAATAACTTGGCTTCCGTGGCTTGCCTAGCAACTTCTTTAGCGAGCATTGTTTTGCCAATACCGCCCATGCCATACACTCCAATCTTGGTAACCTCACGATCTTGTAGTGCCTTCATAATTTCCTCCAACATCCTCTTTCGCGATTCGAAATACTCGTACTCACCTCTGAACGCAATGCAACTGTGCAAAGCAGGACGAGAAGATATCCTAATGAATTCCGCAGCTTGAATTTGATGTGTAACGTCTTCTACCATTTGCCTTGCCTCCCTGCTCAGTTGACGTCGGGATGCCAAATTCGGAATACGCACATTGCAACAACTAAAATTTGCCCGATCTCGATTGTTGTTTAGAAAATCCTCGGCCCTCTGGGAGATGCTTCTTGTGCTGCTCAGCCAGCTTTGAACATCAGCGTGAATCTCCTCGCCAATTCTTGTGGCCTCTTCAACTCGACCTCGAATGGTTTCTTCTGCATCATTGAGTTCTTGAATTCTACCTCTAAGATTATTTACATTCCGCCCGTAGTCAAATAGTCGGCGAGCTGATAGTACAGTCGTGTACTCGACAAATTTGGCAACAATTGAAGCACCACAAGCGATAAGGAATTCCATATTATCCCTTTTCTAATTTACTATTTCCTTCTCTTGGTTTTCTCTCTCTTTTTCTTTTTTTTTTCTTATCTTTTCTCTCTTTTTTCAATGCTCCCTTTAGACTCAGAGCCTATTAGAAAAAGCAATACTAACGCCAAAAAGAGAAACTAAATGCAAGAATACTAGGAGAACCAGACCACAACAGAGCAGATCATCATAAGAACAAGATGAAATCAAGAAAGAGCATATCTGATCTTCTTATGGATTCAAAACAGAGTCACTTGATGCATATCAGGATTTCTTTTCCTTTTTTTTCCAAATTTCAGAGAAAAAAAAAAAAAAAAAACCAAAGACGTTGACAACTATAACAAGACAAAATCAAGGAACAAAATGGAAAAAAAAAAAAAACGGTGAACTCTCAAATGCAGCGCACTTCTAATCGGTCTATTTCTTTTGTGTTTTTTTTTTTTTTTGTTTTGGATTTTTCTCTCAAATGCAGCACACTTCTAATCGGTCTATTTCTTTTGTTTTTGTTTTTTTGTTTTTTTTTTTTGGATTTTTTTAATTTGAGAACTATAAAGGAGAAAAGCGAAAGAAAACACTGCAACTTGAATAACGTCTTCAAGGAGAATCAAAAGGACAAACTAAACAGAACCTGGAAACGAGGAAACAATTCCTTCTCCTTCTTCTTCTCCTTCTTCTTCTTCTCTTCAAGGAGAATCAAAAGGACAAACTAGACAGAACCTGGAAACGAGGAAACAATTTCGGAAACGAGGAAACAAAGCACGAACTTCTTCCGTCAGGATTAGCTTAGAGATAACAAAAGAGCATTTAAAATGACTATGAGAAACTTCGTATGTAGTTCAGAGAGCGAATGGCAGTGATAGTCGTGTTCAAAAGAAAGTGAAAAGCTATAAACGTAAAAAGTAAAAGAAACGATGTATATGGGGAATAAAAAAAAAAAAGAAAAGAGAAAGATGAGACCTAAAAACGTAAAAAGCAAAGAAACGATGTATATGGGGAATAAAAAAAGGAAAAGAGAAAGATGAGAGAGAAAAAGTAATTGAGCTATTATGGGGGATGAGAATAAAAGCCTCGTTCGTTTCACTGATTCGAGTTTAGAATTCGAGTTTTGCTACAGTAAAAAGTTCTCACAAACAGTCACATCTAACTTTTTTACTATAGTAAAAAGCTCTCACATAAAATCACATCTCAACTCGAATTCTAAATTCGAATCAACGAAACGAACGAGGCAAAAGAAAGATAAAGATTGGAGAGAAGCATAAGAGAGAATAGAATTGTTGTAGGGCCCGTTTAGTTCACTGATTTGAGTTTTTAATTTGAGTTGAGATGTGATTTTATGTGAGAGTTTTTTATTGTAGTAAAAAAGTTAGATGTAATTGTTTGTGAGAGCTTTTTACTGTAGCAAAACTTGAATTCTAAACTCGAATCAGCGAAATGAACGGAACATGATAGTTAACAAACGATATTATTGATTGAGGTTTTTTTTTTCCTTTAAAATTTCTCGCTATTATTAGTGTCAGTATGGTTGAGTCTAGTAAAAATTACATCAACTTAATAAAATATGCACAGCAGAAAACTTTTAATGTATATTTAACGGTTTAAAATAAAAAAATTTCGGTAGTTTATTTTTTTAATTTTAACAAAAAAAACTCCCTAAAAATATAGGTTTAATTTGTTAGACAAAGAATAAGATAGATAAATTAGATAGAGAATTTGTCATCTTTGATGAAACAGAGCACGAGTTCTTCTTTTTCTTCCTCCGTCAGGAACAGCTTAGAGATAACAAAGAACAAGACTAGCTTAGAAATAACAAAAGAGAATTTAAAATGACTGAGAAACTTCGTATGTAGTTCAAAGAGCGAATGGTAGTGATAGTCATGTTCAAAAAAAAGTGAAAAGCTAAAAAAGTAAAAAGCAAAAGAAGACAATGTATACGGGGAATAAAAAAAGAAAAGAGAAAGATGAGAGAGAAAAAGTAGTTGAGCTATTACGGGGGAGGAGAAAGATGAAAGATAAAAATGGGAGAGAAGCATAAAAGAGAATAGAATTGTCGTTGACTAGTGAACAAAAGAAATTATTGGGCGGGTTTAGTTTCGTTTCCAAAACGTTTTTTACGTTTTTTAAAGAGGAAAAAATGAATTATTATTATTATATTTCTTAATAATTTAATTTTTTAAAATAAATTGATAAATTAATATGATATCAGTGTAAAAAGTTTGGATTTGTTCTTTTAGAGTGTAACTTGAGTGTAATTTTTGAGTTAAATTTGAGTTATAACTTGAGTTAAAGTTGTAACTTGAATAAAGTTGAGTAAAGTTGAATAAAATTGAAACTTAAAAGAACATGAATTTGAATAAAGTTAGAATTCGAATTATCTTTTTTTGAGTTTTTTTGGACAAAAGAATAACCCCTTAAACTCTTGTAATTACACTCTTTATTTTCATTTAAAAGTGTCATTATGTGTTAGGTTTTTAATATATTTCGGACTTAAATATTCACGTATTGTGCTTTCTAATTAATTTACCTATACGATTGTCCATTGTCTAGCCCACACCTGAGGGAGAGTGTTAAAGTATAAACTATTGTTCGCCCACCTCCTAACAGTTTAAACTTTTAGGATGGATTGGTAAACTAACAAAACGAAACGGCATTTGTTTAGAAAATATTTTAAAAACGAAAACGAAAACAAAAATAGTGAGTGATTTTTGTGAGGAATTTGAAAAACAATTAAAAGTTGTTTTCACTTTTCTATTTTCATTTTCTAATATTTATCAATAATATTATAATATATTAATTAATAATTATAATCAAAGACGATTTCATTCTTTTATTATACTCAAAACAATCTTTTAAAAAACCAATCAAACGCAATTTCAAAATCATTTTTAAATGATTCTCAAAACAATCTCATTTTTACTTTTTTATTGAAAACAAAATCATTTTCAAATCAATTCCAAACCCACCCATTGAGTTTTGTTTTTCCTTTAAAATTTCTCATAAACAGTACTTCTATTAGTGTCAGTTTATTACGGTTGAATTTAGTAAAAATTATATCAGCTTGATAAAACATGCAAAACAGAAAATTTTTAATGCATATCTAACGATTAAAAGTAGAATAAAATCATTTTGAAAGCAATTTCAAATGCACAATTGAGTTTTGTTTTTCCTTTAAAATTTCTCATGAACAGTGCTACTATTAGTGTCAATTTATTACGGTTGAAATTTTGTAAAAATTATATGAGCTTGATAAAAACATGCAAAACAGAAAATTTTTAATGCATATTTAACGATTAAAAGTAAAAAATTATCGGTAGTTCATTTTTTTGATTCCAACAGAAAAGTTCCCTAAAAATAAATGTTTAATTCGTTGGACAAAGAATAAGATAGATAAATTAGACAGATAATTTGTCCTCTTTGATGACTTTTCTGCACTTTAGTTCGATTTCCAAAATCAGTGAATATGTTTAATTTGTACATTTGGAATCTAATTAAGCAACTATAACAAAAATATTGTACATTAGAAATTGTCCTTTTTTATACTATAGCCATAAATTATTTTTTTAACAGTTGAATTAATTTTTTGATGGTCTGTTGTCTGAGTATTCACGTTATAAATTGTTATAGGCGATACAGAACTGTCTTTATTATAGATTATGCTGTTGAAAAATTAATCTATTCACTACCGGTATTTAAAGGAACAATTCTTACCATTAAAAAAAATCCAAATTGTTTGAGTAAGCAAACATTTACTTAGAAAATAAAAGAAAAAAAAGATCTTACAAACCTAACTCATAAAAGACCTAGAAATGAAAAGAAAAACAACCTAACAAACTAAACAAAAATAAAAAGAAGAGTGCAAAGAAGCAACATAAAGGAAAACATAACTGTTTTCTCAGACCTAGAAATGAAAAGAAAAACAACCTAGCAAACTAAACAAAAATAAAAAGAAGAATGCAAAAAAGCAACATAAACGAAAACACGACTGTTTTTTCAATTTAAAAAAAATGAACAAAAATATTGGGACTTAAATGTTTCAAAAACGAATTAGAAATTCTCAAATATTTATGGAAGAAATCCTAAGCATATCTCATGTCTCCAACTACCACAGTCAATTCCATTCTATTTCTTTCTCTCTTTTTTTAACTGAAACATTTTATTATATTTTCAATTCTGATTTCGTCAACTTGATCTTGGTAACCACCTCGAATTTTTTTTTTTTTTTTTCCACTCGAAAAAAATTCCTTGGGAGTTTAGAATTCAAATCTCAATTCCAAATGGTTCGAGGTGCTTACTCCGCCAACATCAATTTGGACCTAAGCCTAATTTGGAATGTGAATTTTCGCTTCAAATTGTTGGACCACAATATAGACTAAATTTAATCAGCTCTTATCATACTCGACCACTGTATTTTTTTTTCTTTTTAATTCCAAATGTGAAAGTTTTCGCATCCTATAAATGCGTTTTCTTCTTTTTCTTCGAGTAAAATAACCGAGATGCATTAACTATTTAACATATAATGAAATCTCCCACTACTTTACTAGATATTTTTATTGATTAATAATAATTATACTATTTGGTTTTTTTTCCTCTTAATTTAACATACACAATACAATAATCTTAATTTTGTTAATAATTCCCAATTCACAATACAAAATCGTTTTTAAAATGATTCTCAAAACAATCTTATTTTTACTTTTTATTAAAAATAAAATTATTTTAAAATCAATTCTAAACGCACTCATTAAGTTTTAGTCCAATTACCTTCTGAACTAAACAAGCCATCTTAGGATGTGTGGAATTTTCTTTTGAGTCGGCCAAACCCTTGTGGAGCCTTGAACAAAGTTCTCTAATCACCGAAATGTCGATATTTTGACTACCAAAAAGTTAAAAATTAAAACCAACTTTACAATAAACCTCTTGCAAACAAAAGAAAAGTTGAGAAGGACAGAGAGGCTACCAGTCCAAGGAAATGCAGATGACAAGGAAGTGATTAGCAGATGCAGTAGGCCTTAGACTTGTTTGGCTGAAATTCAGCCTCTAAAGGCCTCGTTTGGTTGAAAATAGTGGCTGTAGTTTTTTTTCTGAAACTGTATTGGACAGCCTGCACTGTTTTTACAAAATGGCTTTAGACTTGTTTTTAGAATTAAAACTGGATTTTGTCACAGAAAAACAGTGGCTGGAGTTGACTGTTGATGCCATACATAAAGCTTATAAGACCATGTTCAACAAATGGATTAAAGTGTGTGAAATAAATAAGTCCCTACGAGAGCACGTCGATGATTTTGTCAAAGAGAATAATGAATTTGGGTTAAAGTAATTGAGTTTTGTTTTTCTTTTAAAATTTCTCATGAACAGTGCTACTATTAGTGTCAGTTTATTAGGTTAAATTTAGTAAAAATTATATCAGTTTGATAAAACATGCAAAACAGAACATTTTTAATGCATATCTAGCGATTAAAAGTATAACAAAATCATTTTGAAACTAATTCCAAACGCACCATTGAGTTTTGTTTTTCCTTTAAAATTTCTCATGAACAGTGCTACTATTAGTGTCAGTTAATTACGGTTGAATTTGGTAAAAATTATATTAGCTTTATAAAACATGCAAAATAGAAAATTTTTAATGTATATCTAACGATTAAAAATAGAAAACTATGAGTAGTTCAGTTTTCTAATTTCAAAAGAAAAGCTCCCTAAAAATAAAAGTTTAATTTGTTGGACAAAGAATAAGATAGATAAATTGGACAGAGAATGTGTCGTAGAAAATTAATCTATTCACTACACTATTTAAAGGAACAGTTCTTACCATTAAAAAATCTAAATCGTTTGAGTAAGCAAACATTTACTTAGAAAATAAAAGAAAAAGAAAGATCTTACAAACCTAAGTCATAAAAGACCTAGAAATGAAAAGAAAAACAACCTAACAAACTAAACAAAAATAAAAAGAAGTGCAAAGAAGCAACATAAAGGAAAACATGACTGTTTTCTCAGACCTAGAAATGAAAAGAAAAACAATCTAGCAAACTAAACAAAAATAAAAAGAAGAGTGCAAAGAAACAACATAAAGGAAAACACGAATGTTTCTTCAATTTAAAAAAAAAAAAAAGAAACAAAAATATTGGGACTTAAATGTTTCAAAAACAAATTAGAAATTCTCAAATATTTATGGATGAAATCCTAAGCATATCTCATGTCTCCAACTACCAGTCAATTCCATTCTATTTCTCTCATTTTTTCTTTAACCGAAACATTTTATTATATTTTCAATTCTGATTTCGTCAACTTGATCTTGGTAACCACCTCGAAATTTTTTTTTCCATCGAAAAAAATTCCTTGGGAGTTTAGAATTCAAATCTCAATTCCAAATGGTTCGAGGTGCTTACTCCAACATCAATTTGGACCTAAGCCTAATTTGAAATGTGAATTTTCGCTTCAAATTGTTGGACCACAATATGGACTAAATTTAATCAGCTCTTATCATACTCGACCACTGTATATTTTTTTTCTTTTTAATTCCAAATGTGAAAGTTTTTACATCCTATAAATGCGTTTTCTTCTTTTTCATCGAGTGAAATAACCGAGATGCATTAACTTTTTAACATATAATGAAATCTCCCACTACTTTACTAGATATTTTTATTGTTCAATAATAATTATACTATTCAATTTTTTTTCCTCTTAATTTAACAGACACAATACAATAATCTTAATTTTATTAATAATTCCCAATTCTAAAATTGGATCTGAACAAAAAGATATCCTGTGACTAAACTGACTGCATGTATTCCTAGGTCCCTACTAGGTATAGACACTCTTACAAAAGAAGCAAATACGTAAAAATCTCAAACTTTAAAAAGGACGTAGGAACAATAAGCCTTTTGCAGCGCATCCGGATGAGAAAATCAGCACGTGAAAAGGGACACAACAGAGTTATATATTTTTAAGGCTAACAAATGTTTTAATTTGGATGGCTCAACAATTTGATCTCTTGCTTTTCTTTTCTTTTCTTTCTTTCTTTGTTTTTTTTTTTTTTTTCTTTAGTATCATTTGATTTCTCTCAGACTTCCCAAGTGTGGCATGAGCCGAAGCAATTTAAATCTCCTGAACTTAATGAGGCTTGAGGTTATCAAGGATGTCAATACATGCCTTCAATAAGGCTTTTGCTTCCCCGTTTTTCTCTATTTCATGCACATGAAGAAGCTCACCCTTAAGCTCGATATTCAGAGTCAAGTCCACCAATGGAAGGTCTCCGTAAAGTTTAAAGATTTCCAGAAGACAGTCTGAAGCACTGATGTGAACCTATACTTGGAAACACGGTCGGTGCATCAATAAATAGTAAATTAGAGAGGGTATTTAGCAAATTGAACAGTTACTGGTTATGAAAAAAGAAGTGACATACCTGAGCGATCTTCACTGTATTTAGGCAGTCGACTACCTTGCGTGACACCGAGTCATACAGCTGAATACAAGAAAAATGAGAAGGCGGAATCGCAGAAGCCAAGAAATTGAAAAAATAATACTAACAATAATAATGGGTTTCAGTCCAATTACCTTCTGAACTAAAGAAGCCATCTTAGGATGTGTGGAATTTTCTTTTGAGTCGGCCAAACCCTTGTGGAGCCTTGAACAAAGTTCTCTAATCACCGAAAATGTCGATATTTTGACTACCAAAAAGTTAAAAATTAAAACCAACTTTACAATAAACCTCTTGCAAACAAAAGAAAAGTAGAGAAGGCCAGAGAGGCTACCAGTCCAAGGAAATGCAGATGACAAGGAAGTGATTAGCAGATGCAGTAGGTTCTCCTGTTGCTCAAGAATATCATTTACATGTGCCACATGGATGCAGGAAATCAGACACTCCAAAACTTTGTCATTTGGAACTGAAATCTCTTGAACATCATCTAGTTCTGCCCACAAAGCAAGCTAAGATCAGAACAGAGACGCTTGTTTAATAATTAATTAGCTTCAACTCAGTTGAGCTGGATTAATAATTGGAACAATTATTGCAGATCATCATTTCGCCAGCCATAACCTTTAAACAAAATAAATAAATAAAGGGGAGAGAGAGAGACTACTTGATGAAAATAATATAACAGGCCCTAGTAGAAAAGCCTTCTCACATTTGAATTGGCAAAACAAGAACTTGATGAGACAGTAGAAGCCCAAAGGGAGAATTGGGAATTTTTCAGATATTGTTATAATAACCATGTTGATATCAAGTTACGCTAGAGCCCAAAAGATGTCAAAGCCAATACAACATATCAAACATCACATTACGTGCTAGCCAACCGCATAATGAAAAGCTAAATGGGGGCGTTGCATGTTTTGAACTGAAGAAACTACTGAATTAGGACGCTAGGAATTCAGATATAAGACCAAATAGGCAACCAGAGCTTCACTACCAAGTCAAACTAGCACCAAGTATAACCTAATTGGAAAGGGAGTGATTACGTTTATCAAAAACCAAAACGATTTTTGATGTTTAAATGGTACAGTGGTGTCAAAAAGTATGGATGCCTAAGACACGCCCACATTCCAAAGTTACGTAGTAAAATATGTTTAATCATGCAGCTGATAGGAACCAGAGAAAAATACAAAGGCACACAATCTCACCAGAAGTTGAAGAAATAATCAGAACTTTATTGAATGGAAAATAGCCCTAGGACGGATTATGGAAAACCTAGCCGATCAGCAGCTCAATTAACTTTACATTTCAAGAAGAGAATCAAAATTTTTAGTTTTTTAGTTTTTTTCTCTTTTTTGGCTTATAAAAGAGAATCGAAGTTTACTACTTCAATCAAAATGCTTTCATCACCTGCTTTAGTAGCATCACTCCCTGAAGTGGATTTCCCAGACTTATTAGGAATGGCCGAATTGCACATCTCAAATAGCAATGAAAAAGTTGAATTAAAGAATTCTGGATGACCAAAGGCTCTTACAACCTGAAACCAAGATAGAAGAAAATATCAACTGAGGTAAAATTAGATGTGAGAAGCGTAATACAAAAAGTAGAATTAATTAAGGGGATAAAAGCAAAATCATCAGTAAACCTTACTCTCAAAGCCCCATGGACAAATAAATAAAAAGGGGATAGATAAGAAATTCCAGAAAAGATGTTTCGCGATGAGGACCTGAATTCAACATACAAAAGGTCACTTAGCCAATTTTGGAATCGATTGCTGTCTCCGTGATCTGAACTAAAAGAGCCAAAACTTTCTGTTTCAAAAGCAATCAACAGGGTTATCTGTAATTTCAATCCTTTGCTCTTTACATCCTTTAGACTTATTCCGCATCATATATCCAACGACAGTGTCCTCCAAACATTTTCCCCTAATGCCACCAAATACTAGCTGCCTAAATTCTTAAATTCCTTGCTGTCGGACACCAGACAGCGCATCTTTTTCCAACAAAAAAAAACAGAAGACAGCATCGTTGGAACGTAGAGCTACCTCTCACCCCAGGAGTTGATTTTCTTCCATTATATATATATATTTTTTTTAAAGTATTCCATCCATATCTCCTACACCATTCAACGGTTAAAACAAATATTATTACCCTTTTTAAACCGTAACCCTCCTAATTTCCGGCAGGCCTACGCAGCACTAAATCTCTTATTTAAGATATATTCTGCAGTACAGTTACAAAAAGAAAAAAGAAGGGTGGGAGAGTGAGAGAGAAGAACTTGGAGAAGTACACCGGGAGAAGAAAATGTGGGAAAATGTGGGTTTTTATATCTATAGAATTATCAAAGTCCAGGAATGGGGCATAAGAGTAAGTTACAAGAAGATTGGTTTATTTGAGTATTTATACATTTGTTTGACAGAAAACACGCATTTTTGATAACCAAAAGTCTAAGACAGTACAAATAGAAGACGAGTGTTTGCTTATTATTTTTATGCAGGTATTCCTAAGCATTGGATTTTTCTTTTTCTTTACAACTACCACTTAATTTTGAATATTTGTTTTCACTACTTACTATGAATACTCAAATATTGAAGTTTGACACGTTGAGAATAATATAGAAAATAAAAACTGATTTTCCTTTCTTTGCTTCCTTTTACTTCCTTTTATAGAAAATACTCTTCCTTCTTTCTTGCCTCTCTGTGGTTTCTCCTACTCCAATTGATACGAAAGCCTAAATTTGACCTGCCATAGGCAAAATAACGCAGCCACACAAACCAATAGGAAACTCTTTCTTATCCCAGAACAAATAGAACTTACATTTATATGAATAAGGAAATGTAAATAGAAATAACAATAGAACTATCCATCTCCTCTCTTCCCACTCTAAATCCCTCCAACACACCTATACTCATGCCTGATCCATAAGCCTAACTCAACACATCGACCACGACAGTGAACAAAAACAAAGACAACGGATCTCTGTCTAAGTCCTCTTGTTGCCCCAAACCTACCCCTCAATCTACCATTGATCAAAATGGACAAAATTAGCTGACTTAAGGCAACCACTCATCGACCTTCTCCATCTGGTCCCAAACCCTCTAAAATGTCGCCCAAGACACTCCGCCTAACATGTCAAATGCCTTTTCAAAATCAATTTTAAAAATCATGAATCATCCCCTTCTTTTTCCCCCTACATTCCTCCAAAGCTTCATTGGTCAGCAAACCACACCCAGAACTTGTCTAGTCTTGACAAAGACACCCTGAGCTAAAGAAGGTGTATCACTAAGCATTTTTCTTAATCTATTAGCCAAACAGATAAACTGGGATAAAGGCATAGTTGAATTCAATTAATTAAGTCATTGTTTGAAAACCGTATCTTGCTTTCGAGTACTTTACTGTACATATCAATATATGCTACATATACGGCATACCTAAGCATAAGAAACACTAAGGAAGAAAAATAGACAAGAAAATGGAATAGTCCACAACAAAATATAAAAATCTACCACAAACATTTTTTCAGAAAAAGAAGAAAACATTTAAAATGCTTCAGTGCAACAACAATGAAACATTTACCTGCTCAAGACAAGAGAGAGCAGCTTCACGGTATTTTTTCACTTTTTTGGTACATGCAGAAGATACCACGCTCAAAATGGCATTAGGAATGGCGGAATCATTACTTGAAATTGCTTTATGACAAGACTTTGAAAGAGCACCTATTGCATCAAGTAAGACTTCCTTACCCTGTAAAAATAAATAAATAAATATATAAAAACAAAAACAAAAACAAACACACTCACTCATATCCTGCAGAGATATAATCTAGAAGACAACAATCAGACATCTGCAATGCATTGGCTACAATAAAACATTATTCCTATATTCCCTAGCCTACATCCCTCAAAATGTGCTATAATTTGAATTTAAATATGCGTTTTATTTCTACATTTGCAGGACTCCTTGTTCTCCCAATTCCATCTGAATTTTAATTGATTGGCATTTTTAACAGAACTTTACTAGAATGCAGTTTACACTTGGTATTTTTAATTTTGAGGACTCATATCTTTTTCTTTACCGAGGAAAAAAAAAATACCCTGAGAAGTTATCAGTTCATTTATGAACAATCATAAAACGGAGTTCATTATAAAATGGAGTTTCATACCTCCCATAAACGCCCAGGAATTTCTTTCATAACAGCTTGGAGTAATACGTGATGGTGGGATTCCAAGGATTCACCCAAAACTTCACTGAGCTTGCAAATTGCCTTCCCCGACTGGAAGTCATGTAATTCACACATGAGCAAAAATTTTGAAAAAGAAAAGCAGGACACATACTTGCCAGGAATATGTTAAATGATAAGATCCAAAGGCAGAGGTAAAAATGAAAACAAGAACCACCTAAAAGAGGAAGAAAATGAAAAAACGTCTACCTTCTTTTTACTTGACCATGACGATGATGTAATGCTCTCGCATATAAGAGAAACAACCTCTGCCAAATACAGTTGGAGGGCTATCCATTCGCTACTTGTATTTTCTTCCCACAACTCCTCAAACAAGCCAGAGACCTGCTTGTCATCCTCAAACCTGTGCTAGAATACGTTAAATTCCTATGGCAAGCAAAGAAAAATTAACAAAACAGCTTTTAAATAGTAATTTATTTAATCAGAAAACAAACAGAAATTCTACCATCGAGTGAGAAGTAAAATAATTTAAAACTATAATCTTTCAACACATTTTTAATGGATCTTCTCGGTGAGCGTTTTCAATTAAAAGCTACCATGCTCTAATCTACATTTCTTTAACGTCAACCTGAAGCAATAGAAGTGAATAGCCAAATAAGTTTTTGACTACTAGGCTCAATTGCATGGCCATTCACCGAGAGGCCTTACCAAAGTTCCAGCAGGGTTTCTTAGGGATGACCCTGTGAATATAGATGTACAAGAATAAATGACTTCTTCACAGTGGACATTCCCTAAAATTCTTGTGGTAGAAGTGAAAATTGCTTCTGCTAACATTTTGATTAAGCCACTTTATTTTGTACTATTCAAGTCCATGGCTATCGTCATTAACAGATGATGAATAACACTCCTATAGCTTTATGGTTACATAGAACATAATTTAACACTACTTGAACAATAACCTGCGTCCCCCCTACACACACACAGGGACAAACGAAGGGGAAAAAAAAAGAGGATGTGAGTCAGACCTTGATAGAAAAATAACCGTAATAATTGATGCATGATATCCACTCAGAAAATCCGAGGCCATGGATGAATAGCTTTTCAATAGAATCGCACATGTAATTTGAGCATTCCTATCACCAGTATGCAAGGCTGCAGTATCTTCAATCAATTTCTGAGCCTGAGATGTTGCTGCATACTTTAAAACTATTGCACAAGCACTAGCAAAGGCACGTTTAGCTGCTCCACTTTTCTCCTCCTTAACAACCGGAAACAACAGCTTCAATAGTATGCTTGTGTATGGCTTGACATCAACGCCAACCTTTTGAACAAGCAAGCTAATAAAGTTGGCAACACCAACCCTGAGAGAAACATGTAAGGATCAGAGTAAGCACTTATAACAATTAGGTAACTCCTCATAAAATTTGTCTACATTAACATGCAGATTCCAGTAAATATATTCAGCTTTCATATTTTTGTGCTGAGTTCCAGCTTGCACAAGTTCATACGTGGCAGTATTATATATATCAGAAAGGGAAGGAGGTTGTAGAGGATTTTCTTTTCTCAGAAACAAAAAACAAAACAAAAACTGACAGAAACTCATACAACCAACCCCCTGTTTCCTGCCATGAATAAACCATCTACTGCATGATCAGTAACTCCATAGAGAGATTAAAAGAGTGAAACTAAAAATAAGAGATCTACTACATTAGAATTCAGATGATAAAAGAACAATTCCAAAAATAATTGAATCCTAACATATAAGAACAATTCCAAAAATAATTGAATCCTAACATATAAGTCATTAGAAAGATAAGAAAGAAGAGAAATATTGCGCTTCAAGAACCAAAATGTCCTCAAACTTTTCTGACGCTTTCTACACAATTCCATTTGTCAGATAGTCAATCCAAGAGAAACGTATCTAATAATAATAAATAAATAAATACTAACAGAAATCTTCAAAATGGCAAGATGTTCTGTTCATAAGGTTTCGCCGTTTGGGGTGACTGACAATTATTAAAACAAGAAATATCGTTTTATTTGTTGGTGGATTGTCTAATTCCTAGGTGACTTTATATGAAGAAAAGATGAAATATTGGCTATATAAGTTGCAATTCAACAGCTGGAATGGTGTAAGTACAAAATGTTGTCAGGATAATTTCAATACATGGACAAGAACCGCCCCCCACCACCAAAAAAAAAAAAAAAAAAACACACACACACACACTTGCGATCATCATATCTGAAAAGGATGTAAGATTATAGAAAAATAACACTCACCTAGTGTTCAGTCCTACTCCAGATCGGACCAATTGAGCAAGACGAGGAACCAATTGGTCTAATGATTTAGTATCCACAACATTTAAGGAGAGATCAAGAGTTTCCCACATTGGAGAACCTTTTGCAATTGAAATTCTCAAATTTTCAAGCTTTTCTGTTTGTATTCCAACATTTGCTGCATGCAACTGCAAGACAATTATAAAAAAACAATTAAATTTAACATTTAAAAAAAACAAAAAAACAAAAAAACAAAAAACAAAAAACAAAAAACGGAAAACGGATCCTAAATGTGAGAATGGAATATGTTCAAACCTCAACATAATTAAGTCCTTGGTCTTCAAGGCTTGATAAACTTTCCAACATACAACAGACTAAATCAGACAAGTGCGGACGAAGTGCAATCCCTGCACCCTGTAAAAGAGTTGGAATATAGCTGAGTAGTCCTGAACTCCAAAATACAGACAAGAAGACTTCAACCACAAAGAGAGAGAGAAGGAGAAGAAGAAGAAGAAATACTACCTTTGCAAGCTTCATAACAACTGCAATAGACGCCTTGCGGATAGTGTCAACTTTACTTAATATGCCTTCTCCAAGCAAAACAGGCAAGACAATATCCATGGCTTGGCTTGCATGTGATATATCTGTTAGGGAGACATCACAAAGCCTAATTGTTAACGAAGTAACAGCACGACATAATTTTTCACCAGAATTTCGGACAGTCTCTTTTATATCGTCCATGGCCCGGAAGGCTGCTGGCCATAATTTTTTTAAATGCTTTCCAACCTAAATAAACCAGAACAAGCATATGGTGACACGGTAATTGCAGTGGATGATAAGATATAAAGATCAAGTTTAAAAAAAATAAAATAAAATAATAATAATAATAATAATAATAACAAACAAATAAATAAATGAATAAAGATCGGGAACATTACGTACACTTTCATAGTTTGATAATGATGTTAATACACGTCTCAGCTATAATAATAGAGTTTTAAGCACTTGTTCCCAGTGAACTTTTAGTGGTTTGGTGTTATCACTATTGTGGGTCAGTCATCTGGATGGAAAGCAACAGGAGAAATTTACAAGAAAAAGAACCGACTTTATGCTCCCTTTTTGAGAAAGCAAGTATTTAGCTTCTTTGTGGGCTTCAACTGATAAAGTTTTTAAAGACTTACCCTTCTCTTTGATTGTATTGAATAGGAACGATGCAAAAAGCTTATAAAATTCTAGGCTTCTACTGGTGTTTTTTATGTATTTTTGTTGCTTTCACCTGTGGACTTCTTGTCCTGGATATCTATGTACTGTTTTCAATCTCAGACGCTACAGTTTCTTATTAAAAATAATAATAATAAGATGCCATATGGCACGAGTAACATTTTGACATTCGAATCAAAATCCAAAGCATGCTTAGGTAGTTTGCATCTGCATTTATTTGACATTTAGTCCAACAATTGTACATTAACATACAAGAAAATCTGAAATTGCACGTTTAAACAATCACCTGATCGAATCTCCGTCCTTGGATGATATCTGCAAGAGCAAGACAGGATGCCTCACGGGAGCGCCAAAGCCTAGATCCAAACTGAATAAGCAAATCGTCAATAATAACGTCGAAGTGTTCATCAATTGTCTTCTTTGAGTCTTCCACAAGTGACTTCCATATATGTGACATTGCATCCTAGAAACATCAGAAGAACGAGCAATGACCAACTCATAGTACCAACATATGTAAGATACACTGAGATGAAAAATTCCAAATTTTGTGACATTCCTAAAAAGGGGCAGGCAAGTAAGCACTAAGCAGATTCACAGTAAATTTATCAACATATTCACACTTAACCTATGCCTTCTACCTTTAATACATGCATGTGATGATCATAGACCAAACTGCATTTATACTACGTGCATATTATTTCTAAGAACAAACCAATAAATATTATTTCTAAGAACAAACCAATAAATATTATTCTATATATATATTCACAGTTTATGGAGCTTCTCTGAGTGCAATTGTATCTTACATCATGCACCGAGGTCAGAGATATCTACCTGCACATTTTTATCAGGGTCATATTGATACCGAACAAGCCTTGGGATTAGTAAACGTAAATGTGGCTTAAGAACATCCCCTGCTTGCTTTGCTATCTTAGAAAATCCAAAAGCAGCACCCCTCTTTGAGTTTAGAGAAGCTTGATGATTAGCCAGATCCATAAACTTATAAATTAAGTCCGGTTGCCCCATCTCATTTGCTAAATTGCAAAGCTCCTTATAAGTGCTGAGTTTCCCACCATTAAGACCTTCACCAATAGCTCCCTCTTGAAAGACTTCAGTATCTTCAACGAGCTGCTAAATAACAAAAATGTTAGAACCTAAATTTTCTAGAAGTTGAGTCCAGATTTGGCCAGGGAGTGGCAATTGTTGATGTAGTTCTTTCATTTTGTCTGTTTTTCCATTTTTATGCACTTTTATCCAGGTAAACTGGGTGTCCTCCTTGCTTTGTAGTTCGTGCTTCATTATTCTTTGTATTAATGAAGTTTTGTTCCTTTGCCATAAAAATTATTAAGAGAGAGAGAGAGACAACAGACAGAGACGAGAGACCAACTTGCCTTGATTGCTCTTTTCCTTTTTCCAGAACCTGTGAGAGTGCTTACAAGTGCATTCACTAAGTTTTTCTTCATCGATTCATCCCCAAGCTCATACACAATACTCATGCCTTGTGAAGCTAGCTCTTGTGTAAGTTCATTGTGTTCACCAAGTAAGTGTGAAAAAGCCTCCTGCATACATATGTAAAGTTTTACTCAGATGCTTCAAGCTTATTGTGGTATCAGCTTAAGATTTAATCAAAGAGTCAACAGTGTCCGTTGGAGAGACAGTTTGAAGTGCAGAACACTAGAGAGTTCAACAGGAAAAGATATTAAAAGGAAGAAGAAATAACCAGAAAAATTGTTCCCTGTAAATGGCAAACCTGAATTTCAGGGAGCATTTTCTGGATGGCAGGGTGATGGCCACAATACATTGTAATTGATAATAGCCAGACAGTTCCGGCACAGCGTTCTTCTTTCCTGGTACTGTATAAAAGTTCATCAAAAAGCTTTCTTGTAATTGCTTCTCTAACCATGCAATGATAATCTTCACTGGATGTATTTGTTCCATTCGTGCTATACTTTGACTTTGATAAGTTCACATCTCCCATAAGAAAGTTGGAACTCATGGATAGCGTACTATAATTTGTTTTGAGAATCACATCAGCAGTGACAGGTACCCCACCCCACAAAAATGAAAGAGCCTCTCCAGCAGCAAAAAGGACATCTTCAACCTATATAGCTCCAAAACTGCAAAAATTAGAGACTTTCCAGTGTCTTACATGAAATACCGTTAGGTATCAGAAGAATGAACAACGCAATCCCTGTAGTCAATTTTGGTTCACATGGTTTGAGAAGAACAAAATTGACCGGTTTGCATATCAGTTACAGATTGGGGTTTTGATATACAAATCCAATTGTTGAAAAGGGTTGATATAAGCATATATTTTTTAAGACCAGGAAGTATCAGCAAAGTATGGGATAAAGTGAAATTTTCGGTTGCAATTGGGTTGCACGAAGATCAAGACTTGAGTCATTTGCAGTTTCAAATGTGGTTGAGTGGCATTTAAAAAAAACAAAACAAGAAACGAATTGCATTGATGATCAACATCCAAAACCGAAAAAATTACATGGATATACATCCTATGACAGTCCTTGCAAAAAAATTGCTAACGTACCCACTTTCCACAAGACTCTACCCCTGCAATTAAAATTAGATGGAAGGGAAGACTCAAGCAGTTCCTTACAACTCAGGCACAACCCATTAAATTCCTAGATCTTGCAACATCCAAAACCGAAAAATTACATGGATATACATCCTATGACTGTCCTTGCAACCAGTGGCAAAGCAATTTCCGATGCTAAAACAGAGGGAATTGCAGTATTTCCTCTTCTTTATTAAACCCTCTTTTGTTTTCAGGTGTTCATAAGCGTGCACTGACATATGGCCCCCATCATTGCTTTAAGCTTTTACAATTCTTGGCTCACCAAAGTATGTTACATGGCTCGCCAAAGTCACCTTTCTAACGTCATTCCTTCACATTGGCTACCAAATTTTCTCAAACCTATCTTTTCCAACTTCTTTCTTTTTTTAATGAGAATCAAAAACTTTATTAAAAAATAGAGAACAAAAACAAAGAAAGAAAATGCAACCTAGAAAAGAGTTCTCAATCAAGAGAAATTAAAGAAAAATGAACCTCCTTAAACTCCTTACTTCAAAATCCAAAAAGAAACCCAGCATCTAACACAATCCCAAATGAAAACATTATCTTCGTGGACATAGAATACATTAGATCATCAGGAAAACTACTATTTGAGACAACAATATAATTCCCATACCATATAAGAAACCCTAATAATTACATCTATACCATTCCACCAGTTATATGTGTTGGTTTGCATCAAATAAAGTTTGCTGAGTTTGGAATAAGGACATAAAATTAAGACTTTCTTCCTGATTTGAGTTGAGACAATTGTCCTCTTTCATTTGAAATCGATAATAAAATAAAAGGTTTTTTTTTTTGTTAAAATATAATAAATAAAACTTGTACCACTCACCCCCGAGAAGATAAATTTAACGATTCATTGAGTATTTACAATCAATTGGATGAACGAAATTGGTAAGCTAACAGAAAATTAGAAAGTGTTTCTACCAACCTTGGAGCGGCAGAGACTAAAGATCAAACCAAGGGCAAGATTCAGACGAGAAATTGAAGTTTCCTCCATGCACATATGCCCAATTGCAATTACTACTTTCTGAATTGCTTTAATATCATCACCGGATAGAAGCTTGCTCAACTTTTCACTTAAAGTTGTAAGGATATCAACTGCATTTTAACCAATGACTTACTTCCCAATGTAATATTTTAAAAGTTGGTGCATAAGAATTATAAGGGCGGTTTAGGAGGTCACTAATTGGCATGTCAAAACTAGTTGTTACCTGAACTAGAATCATTAGTAAGTAATGGCAATGGAACTCGCAATGCAATATGACCCAACGCTTGCATTGCAACTGAGGCCAGTGATGCAGTCTCAGAATTAACAACATCAACAAGAAACTTGAGTGTATTCTGCAACAATGTCTCTGGAATCTGTGAAAATATCATGTAGGATATTTCAGAAAAGACTGAGTGACATGCATCATGTAGACGACAAATTACTACTTGAACTCTTTTTAAAACAGAGACAAATTTCATTAATGGATAAGAATCATGCACATGTATCATAGAGGAAAAGTTTCCTCCAATCTCTAATAAGATCAGCAAAGAGTAGAAATTGCATATATACAAATATATACATATATGTACATTGGGAAAAAAGTGTGTGTGTATATATATATATATATATGACTTACAGAAGGCGTTCTAGACATGCACTCTGCAGTAATATATCCTATCGCGCATAAGGCTCCATGCTGATTCTCAAACCTGAACATACTTGAATTAATCTAAAGCAATCCATATTTGAGTTATTTTTAATAAAGAGGTGGCTTTTCATTTGTGGTTACGAAATCAAAAACTTTGCATAGACGATACAAACCTCAACTTCTGTGTTCCACTAACTGAGGCAATTAGTTCACTAATTATAGCAGACGATGCATCTACAGGAAGATTAGAAGAGGCTATTCCAAGTAAGCGTGCTGCAGATTCACGAGTATCCAAGTCCACATGATCAAGTAATTGCTTTATCCATGAAACTTTTCGTGCATAGTGAGACGATATCATCTACAAATGCCTATAAATCAGAAACAGGCAAAAACGATAGGAAAATAAAAAAAAAAAGGAAAAGCAATTTAATTGGCATCAAATTATCAGTGTCCGCAATATTGACCTCTGGGATACAAGATCCAATCACAATCAATGCCTTGGAAGCATTGGCATGCAATTCAACAGACCCTTCAAAAGCCATAGCATGTTCCAACAGTAAACACATATTTTCCACAGCAGATTGAAACACAGGCAATCCCTCTATCGATTTGCTTTGCTCAAACTCTGACTGAAAGCACTTCAACAAAAATTTAATCATGACTACGTATGTTTTTGAAGGAAATAAAAGCCTTTGTCCCCTCATCTCAGTTGAGTCTAACAACTTTGGCTGCTGTCCAAGAATGTAATCTAGCATGACACCCAGTTTGGGATACTGTAAATCAGATTTTCCATTCATGCTTAACCCATCGTCTTTCAAGAGAAAAAGGCCTTCAAGTGCCATATCCCTGCCAAAAAAAAAAGGAAAAACAGGAAAGCCCCAGGGTTTCTGGGGGAGAACTCCTAACACGTTCAAAATCTAGGACACTACCTCAAATTCATAACATGACTTTTCAATTTGAATTGTCTTGATCCTAAAGTATCATGCATGACAAGCTACAGATGATAATCTAAAGACATTTAATTTCCCAATTTGACTCAAAAGGAGTTTTTTTTCTGCATAAAGAGAATTCAAAACCTTTTTAATGAATTTCTTACGTCTGTTCAGTGTTCAGTATTACTGTCGGAGGGCTGCTTTTAGATTATTACACAATCTACAACATAACAGGTGTTTGGTAAAACTTGCTTTCGCCCAACAGAATGTAAAAACTAGAAGCAATGAAGTAGCAATACCTTATATCCAAACTCGAATCAGCCGCCCCAAGCATACAAATAAATCGACTAGGGCAATGTTGTAAATCAAACAAATACGTAGCCCATCTTACAGCACAATATCTTACTTCACTTTGTTCCTATGTCAGCACAAGAAATTAGACGATTATGCAGCAGGAGATTATTGATGACCAAAATAGATAAGAATATTCTTATTCCCAATAATAGGCTAAACAAGCCACACAACAGAAACGAAAATTCACCAAAATGTATAATTTCAGTACCTCTTGAGAACTTATCAACAAAGGCGTTTCCAAATCTTTTAACACGGTTTCTGGGGCTCCCTAATGCTCAAAGAGTAAGTTAGTATTAGTACAAGGGTTACAGAAAAAAAATGCTCAAGAAAAGCTCACAAGAAACAAGATCAGAGACTTCCTCATCATTTAAATTCCAAGAAAAAGAAAATTTGAAGTTTCTGTTGAAATATCGGCAAAATTCCTCGAAAAGTGAAAGTTGACTAGCTTCCTTAATGTGAAATTTTTTGTTGACTACTTTGCTAATTGTGTAAATAGTTGACTGATAATTATGTTCCTTTTCAAAGTTTGGAAATTACACACTTGCAAGAATAGTTCCCCAAAGTGTTTGTATTTGCATCAGATCGATGGTCATAACTATCAAATGAAATGGATCACTACAAGAACTATGAACAGAATGTGATTTGATGCTACATAATAGACTTTAGGCAAAGTGATCAACTAGCTTACCTTATACGCAGTAGAAAGAGAAATAGTTGCCTCCTGAATGATGAAGCGAAAAGACTGGGGCTCCACTTTCAGTGCACCAAAAAGACGCACAGCCATATCAATCTTATCTCTAGAAGGAGAGATTTCCACCATCAAAAACTTTTAACTTATTATCTTGAAGTAATATTTCAAAGCACAAGAAAACGGGCAAGGAAAGAGAGATTCCACGAGATTAAACAATTAAGAATAAAAGTTGGTACTGAAAGAAAGAAGCAAAGAAAGCTAAAAACCTAAATAGTTGAGGCATGCGCTGTGCAAGCAATCCAATAGCTTGGAAAGCAAAAGTTTTGGTATCTCGTGCAGTAGCATCTGATTAAGTTCATACAATAAATTAATGTGATTGAACACTACGTAATAGCAAAAATATGATATATTATTTTAAGACAATCATGTAAACTCCATTGCATAACAACAAACCTGACTCTAAATTTGAATAACTGTCGAGTGACTTCAGAATCGCGTTCAGTATCACAGGGGCCATAAGCTTAAGCTGATTAATTTGTGACTGCACAAGAGAAAAAAAAAATCCCATTTAACAATGTTTCTGGAAAAGAATAACAGAACCCTAAAATGAAATAACAAATTCCTTACATGTTTAAATACCCAGACAGTGAACTCCATTCCCATCTGCTTCAACCTAGATGTTGTTTCACTTCCTTTCAAGATGCACAACATAAAAATGGCATAAGTTTCAGCATATGATATCCTAGAAAATACTTAAAACCTAAAAGCTAATAATCCCCTCAACTTATCTGTAGTACTGAGCTCATTGAGTGTGACCATGTCACCTCCAACAATTCCATCTTGCTAGCAATTTGTCCAATTTAAATCCTGCTTTTAATACCCAAAATACCCTTTCTAAATATATTCACGAAACACGTAGCTACTTTACATTATATCTAATTTTTCCTATATCACAACTAACAAAAAATATTAAAAGCTACAACAACAAACGGTCCTAACAGAGGCAAATAATTGACTTCACTAAGTTGCAACATGGAGATAGAAAGAAATACACAGGAGAATGAAAAAATCGACAATGAAAAGGGTGTACCATATATGCAGCCAAAGATACATTGTAAAGTTGCAGGAAAACTATTTGCTGCTGTAATGGACCGGCAGAAAATAGACATTAGCTTTGCTTTCAAAGCATGACTCCCAGGAGTGACCTTATGTTCAGGAGCAACATTTTGAGAACCAACAGTACCTACAGAATATGTGAGATGCCTGTCAACTATGCAATAAAAAATTATACCAAAAAATATAATTTCATCCCAAAAATTAGCCTTCTTCCTCAAAAGTAATTCATAAGACTATGCAATAAATAATTTCTATCTGCATTTGTGTGTGCATAAGACCTAATTCAAGTGGAGATAGTCCTTAAACAAAAATTAGTGGTAAAACAAGTATGCTAACTCGGAATAATAACAAATAATTTCAAAATACAGTAATTCATTCAAATCAAATAAGTGAAAGCAAAAACAAAAATGAAGATCATAGTAAAGGCTTATATTTCATACCATTAAACAGCACAAAAAGTTTGTTTATGAGGTTTGAATCATCTAGGTTAGTGCCATTAGCCTTCTTCCTCAAAAGTTCCTCCCCCCTCTTTACAATAGGCTCTTGACTAGAAGCAACAAAACAATAGCAGAGCAAGATCATTAAACCATTTCATTGCTAGACTAAACAAAGATGCTACATCAAAAGAAAAGATTAAATGAAAATATTAGTTTTCTAGAATAGATCTACATTAGGAAACTATTTTAGGAAATTACATAAACATTGTGCTCCAAGAGTAGAATATGATAGTTAAGAGAATCCTGAATTATAGAATTTGAATTAGATCCGTGCTTATCCACTGCTGTATACATGGGAATTAGGGTTGTATTCTTTTTCAATAATTCAATTCAAGGACCTTTTATTGAAAGTCAAAAAAATAAAAAGAGTGCACAACATGGGACAAGAAGTCCACAAAAAAAAAAAAAAAAAAAAAAAAAAAAAAAAAAAGAAAAGCATAACCAAGGGCCTAAAAGTACAAAACAAAACCCTGCTCAATGCAAAATAATTCAATTCAATATCTCCATCACCTTTTCCCACAATGAAGCTCGTTTTTCTTATCCAAAAAAAAAAAAAATCCAACTGAAGAAACTAGTACATACTAATCAGCAGAGGCAGCCAGATAAAGCGGATAAACAAGTTCAGGTGCCAGCTCCATCCCTTCGGTAACATTCAAGATCCCCAACTGCTTTAAGAATACTAAAGTAAGTAACATATACTAGACGCTGACAAATAGGTCTATTGTTCTGTGTGTGATAACGAAACAATGAAAGCACGCATACACATAATACAGACATACATACATATGTGTGCGTGCGTGTAATTATTGTACCTAACCCTGTTGCTTATTCTGTTTAAGAAGAGTGACATGTTAGGCGGACCACTTGTCTCCCTCTTTTACTATTTCCCTTTTTAGCTATTAGCAATTTTTTCTGTGTATCTATCAGTCAGTAGAGTAGCTATATCTAGCATCCTGTGTGTGTGCCCGCGCATATTTAGCATGCATACATCGTTATTTTAAGTATACATGTACGTATGTTAGAATACAATCACAGCCCTATATAATACATATACATGCATGTGTAAACCTGCAACATGTATCGCGTGTCGTGTAGATAAACACGCAGAATGCACGTGCACACGTACCTATACAACGTGTGGACCTACTTGTTCCACACCCACAACCAATTGTATACACACCAGTACTACTACATCCAATTAACTTTCCTTCTACTGAACTGTCGCATTTTCCTCTTTTTAATAAAAGATTATTTGCTTACGGAAAATCTATGATCCCACAAATTGTCTTTACCTTTCTCATTAAAAGCACATCTCTGTCCAAAGATTGTTTCCCTGTAACACCGTTGGTTTGAGAGATTGAAAGTCCAGGTGGGCATTCTCTACTGCATAAATACATGAGTCCTTAAAGAATTTCATCATAGCAAAAAGGTTATTCTAAAAGAAAGGTTAAGGGAAAGTTCATAGATCTACATACTGCTCAAACAGTACACTGAATTCCACACCTTTGAGATGATGGCTGATACAAAATTGTATGGAGGCAAAATTCAACAAACAGTTCCCTGTCCCTAGGATCAGTAACTGTCCTATAATTTGCAACAGTTTCATCATCAGTTCGACTTGAATGGCAATCACCAATAACCTGAAATTAAGCAACATTACATGATTCAGAACAGTCATTTATCATGTGAGCAAAAAAGGAACCGAGATTAATAGACATTACTTTCTATATGAACTGAAAGCCAAGACTTTTCCTACTTTAGCTATTCTCAGCTTTAATAAGCATCTGCATAACTCCCAACTTTTTTTTGTCCTATCAGTGAGCTATGTATACTTTTGCCTTTCCATGGATGAATACGAATTATTACAAGACTTGTCTTCTGAAACATCAATTCCTTGTTAAGAGACCAAGAATTATAGTTATGAGATGTTCTCTGAAACATCACTTCCACTCAGGGAAGATTGTAAATAATTTTCTTTACCCAAATTTTCTTCAAGGACGTGTTCAAAATTAGCCTCCAATGCCCCCTACTCTCGGTAAATTGCATAAAAAGTCTAAAACCTACTCTAAAGTGCTTAAAATGATGATTATATTCTGCCATGGCCAAGACTGAAATTAAACAAATCCTAGAGAGAAAACCCTAGAGAGAAACGCTCCCATTGACATAAAATGCATCTCAGAAGCGAATGTAAATATTCGTTTGATATGAGAACTAATTAATAATATGATCGTTATTGCCTAAGACCGCTTGGTCTAGTGGCACAGGGGGTTCGGTTTGGGAGTAGGTGGTGGGTTCGATCCCGTGTTGTATCAAAAAAATAAAAAAAAATAAAAAAAAAATAATAATAATAATAATATGATCGCTATTAACAATGTTCAACCTTACATTCTTAGTAATTACAAAAGTATCAAAATTAGACAAAGAAGAATCGTTTGGTTTTGGCTTCAAATCTTTTCTTTTATATAATAAATAACCTTTCTTCAATGAAATTCAATTACAAGGAAGGAGGACACGAAGTCCATCAAAACAGAAAAATCAAGAAGAAAAGATGAGAAATGTAAAAGTAAAATCTTTCTAACTTGTACTTCTCAACTACCTTTACATTGGTCGCAAAGAAAGTAAAAGAAAAATATTGGGATAACTTGCTGAGCAGTCAGGGCACTGATTTCCAAGGCAAGGAGGCAAATAACACGACATGCACAAGATACTTAGACGGGTTGTCGAATTCATTACACATGCAGCTTGGCTGAACCTTCCATGCCTTGCTCAAGGCCAGGTTACAGTGGAGGCAAATCCAGACAATTGATGAGAAGACACCAAAAAATAATATATAAGCAACATCCACACTAAAAGGTCCCAGCAGAAACTTAGGTGCAAGACTTAAACGAAAAATCAATCAAGATTAAAATAAATGAACAAGCAATTAGATATATGAAGTACAATGGTTAAATACACTTCCACTGACGGAAAAAGTCATAACAAAACAAATCCAAAGGAAGATACCTTGGTAACAATTCTGAGGATGATCTCCTGGTGCTGCTGCGGAAGCTTTGAAATATTCACCAGAAGCGTGGGTGCCAAATTTCCTTTTTCCTGTTGTTCATCATGAACATTTAACAGAAATCTTTTAGTCAAGTCAGTGTTATTGTCCTCGGCAACAAAATACATTGAAAAACAAAAATATCACAAACCTCAGTAGGTGCACGGTCAAATGCCATTTCAATATACACAATACAAAAGTTCCGAACCATTGGAGCAGTATTAGCATCAGAATATATATTCCAAAGCTCTGATAACGGTAAGCCAATCTGGAGCTGATGTTTCACTCTCTTATTCACATGACTCAATATCTCAAGCACCTGTAATTTCGCAGCTTTGATTAACATCCACAAAGACTAAAAATTACACTACGTTGATTATTTTTCGTTTCTTTCATTGCAAAAAAAAACCCCTCAAAATCCACAAAGTCTCGATTGCAGAGACAAAACGATCAAATTTAAATACCAAATTTCAAAGAACTCTTCGTTCACCATTTGATTTTCGCCAAAAACAAGACAAAAACTAATAACGTCATTCCAAAAATGAAAAAGAGGATAAAATAGCATCAACGAGAAGCTCTGAAATCCCTAGAAATTGGAGAAGCTCAATCGCTAACTGCGAACAGTTTTCAATTAGAAACTACGAATATATATATATATATATATAGAGAGAGAGAGAGAGACCTTGTTGCGAACGGCGGAGGAGTGAGAGGAAAGGGAAGAAATGGTGACGGGGAGAAGCTTGGAGAGCAAGGGTTGGAGTTTGGAGTCGTCGCAAAGAGCGAGGCGAGTGAGCATTCGATCCAGCATCTCTTCTATCTCTCCGTCTGACTTCACTGTCGGCGCCGACGACGACAACGATGGTGATGGTGTTGGTTCAGCCATTTTCTTCGCAAGCAAAGAAAGAGAACTACTGGGAATTGAGAGGGGTGTTCGAGGGATTCTAATAACGTAAGGAAGGGTAATACCTGTGTACTTTTCACTCTTTTCTTTTTTCTTTTTTTTTTATCTTTTTTATTTCCTTTCATACCTAATTGAAACACGCGCGTAGTATATTATACTAGCTGAAACACGCGCTAAGCGCGTGCCTGTTCAACTTAAAAAAAATCATGTTTAATATTATTCAATTGGTTAATTGAAATTTTTAATTTAAATTACTATGTAATTTTATATTAAAATTTTTTATTATAATAAAATTTAAATTTAAAATTTAAATCACTAATTAAAATTATGTTTCAGAATTATTCTCATTTTACGTGTATTTTTTATAAAAAAAAATACTATAAAAGATTATAAATCATGATTTAAAATTAAAAATAAAAGGTCCGTTCATTTCGCTGATTCGAGTTTGTAATTCGAGTTGAGATGTAATTTTATGTGAGAATTTTTTACTGTAGTAAAAAGGTTAGATGTGACTGTTTCTGAGAACTTTTTACTGTAACAAAACTCAAATTCTAAACTCAAATCGATGAAGTGAACGGGACATATTCTCGTATAGGAAACAATCATAAGAGAAAATCAACAAAGCTTATTATTAAAGGATAGCTGGGGAACATTGTTCATTCACTGTACACACACATTACACTATTCATATTGTTTGTGGCCTGGGCTTTTCGGTCATTTTGATGGAAATAAGGCCCTAGGTTTTGCTCTTTCTTCGACCTTCTCATTCCTTCCTCCTGTTTGCTCTCATTTGTAGTCAGATATCGTAAAATTTTTCTCGTTCACTTTATATATTTAAGTTCTTAATTTAAATTGAAATGTGATATTTTTTAAAAAATTTTTACTGTAATAGAAAAAAATTAAATATTATATTTTCTGAGAATTTTTTACTGTAAAAATTTAAAACTGAAAATTTAAATCGGTGAAATGAATGCTAACTCTTACTCCTTCTTTGATCTCTTCATTTGCTCGGCGTCTTTCGTCTCATTTGTGATCAGAAATACTAGAATCTATGATTTTTTCGATTTGTTTATTGTTGTGCAAATAAAGCTCTGGGCTTTTTTTTCTTTTTCGATGTTCTTATTTGGTTGGCCTTTTTGGTTTAATCTTTGGCCAGAACTGCGGATTTCATTGTTTTTCCTATTTGTTTGTTGTATCTGCTCTTTTTTTATGTGATTTATCTATTTTTCTTTTTTTTTTTTTCAATGTTGTCTTTCTGTTTTTGTTCGTTGCTTTGTTTTTACGGCCAGTGTGTTTTCATTCTTTTTTTAGTTCTTTAAATTTTTACCGTTCTTTTTTTTTTTTTTTTAGTATATCAGATAAGCATTTTGAGAAATTCCTTTTAATGCTTCATTTCTTTCTTTAGCTTATTGTTTTGTTCATAAAGAAGTTTTTGTTTGGATGGGTGAATCCGCAGCCTCCGCCGCAAACATCCATCCACGAGAACGGCGGCGGGAGGCGGACGATTGTCGGCGAGAGTAGAGGCGTCCTCTGCTGCAAAGCTCCGGGAAGGTATCCCGACATGTACGCCACTCTCTGCGCAGCCTCTTTCTCCTCCATTTTCACATCTCCATCGCCATTCATGGCGTCGCTCGAAAATGGAAAGAAATGGCCAAAAAAAAAATAGCAAAAAGGGAGAAAGTGAAATACTTTCTGAGTCTTTCTAGTTCTTCGACTTCAATGTGTTTAATGGTATTGTTGGAGATTTTTTGTTTGGGAGCTGAGAAACGGGAAAGGACTATTTGGTGGGATTAGAAAGTGTGTCGGAAAGGAGAAATGTGAAGAAATCAGAAAAATTTGCTTGTTTTTCTTTTTTCTCGTAAAATCATTTTACAAATAAAAATTTTTGAATTGTCAGAATAAAATTTTTCATTTAAGTTATTTTTACAAAGGCTTTCTCGATTCTTTTTCATATGCATTTTTCCCTCTTTATCTGGTATCTGAGTTGTTGTTGATTTTGGTTCTCATGCATATATTGACTTGATCATCGTTCTGCTTAGGATGATGATCTGTTTCCTTAGGTTGATGATCTGTACTGTTTTTTTTCAGAGGTATTAAATGATTTGTTTTTTTTTTTTTTTTTGCTGCAGAAATAAATTAAAAATTTAGGCAAAAAAATATTGCCAATTCTTTCCCCGTTTTTTCCCTTTTTTGTTTTTTTTTTTCCTCTGAAGTGATAATTTTTTAAGTTTTCACTCTTTTTTTCTGTCTCTTACTCTAATAGCATATTGCTTTTATGATTTAAATGATAAATCTTGGTTTTTAAGCCTCTCTAAACCGACTTAGTGATGATGCGTGTCAGTTTCTTATAAGTTTTATACTCTCTCAATCTCCTTTTTTTCTTTATTTATAAATATTTCTGTTGTATGTGTATTTGTTCTTTTTACGCCTGTTTCTTCCTCTTGCACTAAACTACTGCTCTCTATTTCATCTTGGCTCATTTACTGCTGTACACTATTTTGGATCATTCACTGCTCTGTTTTTTGACCTCTATAGATACCACTTTGCCTGTTCGTGTTTGTTTGGTTGATACTCTGTATTTTAGATAGTATTAAGAGAGTACTATTAATAACTCATGCCTATACTTTTTTTATGCTGATGTTGAATGTATTAGTGGACGTTTGGTTCATGGATTTAAAATTATTCTTATTTTATGTGTGTATTATGTGAGAGAAAAACGTTTTAAAGAATCATGAATCATGATTCAAAATCAGGAATAAATACAAAAAATAAACGGTAATTTGTTGTTGCGGTATTAATGTATGTTGTCTCAGTTTTATTATCTTTTTTATGTTATTAATGGATACCGCTAATATATAGTATTGGGATAAATTTTCTTTTGTTGCTGTTGGTAACGAGGATATATTGAACCGAAGAAAAGAACAAACTAAAGGCACCCCAAAACTAAAAGGGGGTCCAAGCACCAATTATCTACTAACACATCCGAGGGAATAGAGCAAGTAGAAGGGACACCAGAACAGGGCACATGTTTTGCGCAATGAGCTATAGATTATGAGCAGCGAAATTAGCTTCCCTGCCTATTTTCAAGATCTTCCAGGGGGAGCAAGAAGACGCAGTGGGGATAAACTCCCCAACGACGCTTGCAATCTCCCAGGGCCGGTCAGCAAATTCGAAATGACACAAAGGAGAATAGCCGGTTCCTCCTTACTCAAACCAAGAATAAAGCCGAGCCAAACCGAGACCGAGTATCGATCCTAAATATTGAGTTTAGCTTTTCCCTGGATGGGAGAATATTCCAGATGGCATGCCACCATAGAAAATTTGTGAAATATTTTATATGTTTTTGAATATGGTATTTTAAGTTAAATTGTACAATATAGTCTAATATATAATTTTTTCAATACAGTTTAATACATAATTTTTCTCTTTTATTAGCTATTTTAAATTTTATATTAAATTATATGATGTATAAATGTCATTGAACAATGTATTAATATTAAATAATATAATACCAAGTGTTTATACAATATACCAACTAAATTAATGAAGCAGTTTGAAAATATATTACATATTAGAGGGAAAGCAGCACAAAATAATAATAAAAAAGAAACAAAAATAAAGGGTCAAAAATATAAATAAAAAATAAGAACAAAAATTCTGAAATTTAAAAGAATTGGAAATAAAGAGAAATAAGATGAGGACGAAACGTACATTTCGCCCTAAAAAAAATAAAACAAAACAAAACCTATTCTCCTGGAATAGATAGATTAGGAGCCTGTGGAGTAGACATTTTTGCTTCACATGTGGAGAATGTTAATGGAAATCGTTGGATCAAAATCTAACGGCCAAAAAATATTATTACTTTGGTATCATCATTTCAATTCTTAACACAAGATTACAAGTGATATGGACATGTTGTTTCCCTCTTACAAAATAACATCGTGTCTTGTTTTTTGATTAAAACATGTCGTTGGTTTTTTTTTGTTTTCTCAACAATTGTGGTACTTTTCTCACTTTCTCCTTTAGACGCCAACGAAGTCTTCTCCGGCACTGCCACATCTGTTTCAACCCCCAAAACCTCGCTCTGCTTGATTTTTATTTTGTTATTTGTACGAATGGTCCATAAAGTGACAATTTAGTTTTTAAATTTTTTTGACAAAAGACCCCCCTAACTTTTTTAAAAAGTCATAGTTTTGTCATTTTTATCAAATTCAGTTAATTTTTTAACAAAATTAATTATATTCAAGACATGTGATCTTATTAAAAAAGGTATTTTAGTAAAATACTAAGGCATGTAATCTTATTAAAGATGGTATTTTAGTAAAATAACTCAGAGAAAGAGCGAGAGATGAGAGAGAAAAAGAGAGAGAATGAGAGCTTGCCTTGGTATTTTACCAAAATACTCTCTTTAACAAGATCACATGCCTCGCATATGATTAGTATTATTAAAAATTTAAAGAAATTTGACGAAAAAAGATCAAGTTGTCACATTTTAAAGAGATTAAGAGTCGTTTTGTCAAAAAATAAAATTAAAAACTAAACTATCATTTACTAAAGATATTTAAGACCATACGTGCAAATAACTTTTTTTTTTTTTTTTTTTTTTTGCTATCCCTCTCTCTCCGAAAACTGGATTTGAATTTTTCTACTTGCAAGTACGAAATCTTTTTTGTTGCTTATGCAAAAACTAAAGTCGTGACCTTCCGCTTCTTAGTCAGCCAATATCAACAAGTAGTTTTTCTTCTTCTGCACTCCTTTCTTGCCCATTTTTTGTGCAATTGATGGGAATCAGGCCTTTGCCCATTTTTTGCAAAGGCCTCAATGCAAGAACCAAGAGGACATCATCTTCTTCTTAACATTCTTTAGCTGCCTGGTCTTGAGAAGAGGGAGATCGTGGTGGCCTGTGATTTTTCTGCATTTCGGCTCTTCACCTTATTAATATTTTTGTGCCAAATTTACCTCGAATAATCAGAATGACTATGAATCGAAGTGAATAAGATTTAAAGTGAGAAATCATAATCATAATAAATTATTTATTTAGTAACAGGATTCGAATCAGATTCACTTCAAATCGTATTCATACATTTACTTATACTGAAAATCAAAATTAACCGATGTTAAAGTACTAATATAGCTTTAAGTAAATATTTTATTTTCAATTTAAAAATAAATTGTGTAGTTATTCTATTAAAATTTATCATAATTAAAATATTTACTATAATAATAGAGTGATTAAATAATAAATATAAGTTGCATAATTATTTAAAATATGAAATAAATAGTTAAATATGAATCAAATAAATAAAAATTAAAATTAAAATGTGTTAAAATTAAACAATTATCATTCAATTTATAAAGAGAAAATCAAAGATTATGATGGCACTCAATTAAGACAATAATGGAATAAATGAATGAAAAGATTGTCCAAAAATGTTTTGAGACTCCTTAGATTACAACTAGCTTTTAAAAAAAAAAAGGTTTTTTTTTTTTTCAAAAATCCACCCTACATTTTGAGATTATAAAAAAATCATATCTCGTAATTTGGACTTTATTGCATTTGTATCTTCAGATCTCAAGAGTATGCTCAATTCATATTTTTCCTCAGTCAATGGTCAGTTTTGACCCAAAAAAAAACCTGAACAACCTCAAAGAAAATAGAGCAGGATAAGGAAAAAAAATATATAAATTCAAAACTGTAAAGGATATTTAGGTCGATTTCATAGTCAAAATCAACTCTAAAAATAAGAATTTAGCATGAATTTAAAATGTGAAGTTAAAATTTTAACAGAATTCACAATATAAAGTATGATTCTTTTAATAACTTCAAAATGCAAGGTATAGTTAAAAAAAAAAAAAAAAAAAAAAAAAAAAAAAAAAAAAAAGTAAACAATAACCAAGACGTGCATATCATCTTCCAGATATTCCTATACATGATTCCTTGCTTGTTCAAAAACTCGAGAATCATATACGTTTGGAATTTTCTTTTACTTTAAAGGTCATATATGTACACACACGTATATATATTGGGTTGAAAAGGAGCACGTATTCTAGTGTTATGAAGCAGCATAAAGGAGGAATATGAGTAAGAAGTAAAACATTAAAAAAAGTTTTTTAAAAAATACGTTACTCGTCTAGTCTTTTTTATTTTTTATTTTTATTTTTGGTAAGAAGTACTCGTCTAGTTTAGTCTTTGTCGAAAAATGCACTTTTAAAGCATCCAATAATCGTTCTACAAGTGACAAGTATAATTTTTTTAGTCATTCTGATCCCATTGTTTTTTTTTTTTTTTTGGAAGGATAAATGTATTCCAAATTAAGCAAATATCGAACGATCAATACTAAAAAATCTAACCTCGATCATTGACTAGTAGCACAAGTAATACGTAATGAAACATCAAAGAGGAGCAAGCGTATTCAAAACCCTACCAATGAGAAGGTAGAAAGGCGCGATAACAATCAAGCATACACACAATTTTTTAGACAATTCCTCTACAATTGATGAAAAACTCTAATTGATTGAGTCTAAAAGACCTCTAAATCAAAAGTCACTTACAATATTGTTACGAGCAAATGCAAGCAGATTAGACACCGACATAAAATTAAAAAATGAGGAGACCACATCCGTTTTTACAAGATTAAAACAAAAACAAGACAACAAAAAACAACAATAAAGAGACAAGTACAACCCCTTTATTGAATTAAAAAAACTAAAAATAAACGGGCGAGAGACCTTGGCCTTGTGCAAAATCCAACCGGTGACACACCAATTACAACGACACCAGAGACCAGAAACAACCAAACTACAAAGGGGCAAAATCACCACGTGAGAAGAGAAGCAACACCGGCACGAGGGAGCCCATTGTTGCCACCACTGCCACCAACCAAGCTACGGTCTCCACCAAAATTGGCGCTGCAACATCGAGGCAACAACCCATGTAGCACAACTCCGCATAAAACCACGCCTTGTCAACAACAGCCCCACCTCCAACATCAACTCTGGCCAACCCACCCAGCAAACCGCCCTCCTATGTCTCGGCCTCAATGTTAGGGCCAAAACTAGAGTACCAACATCCTTCAAACTTCGGCATGTCCAGAAAAGGTAGCCAAACACTTGACGGCGCTGCACCATCGTTAGAAAATCTGCCTCCAATGCTACGAGATTGGACCCATCACCACCGGATAAACCGCCAGAAGACCCCAAGTATCATCTCTAGGACCGGAGATCCAAAAGCCAAACGGGTGGCGGTGTTGAACTCCAGCCCACGAAGAGCAACGTGCCCACAAGATGAAACCCTAGTTTTCTCTGATCTCATTGTTTTTTTTAATTTATTGTTTTTAGTTTTTACATAAGCATTTCACAGACAACAAATAACTTTTTTTTCCCCTCTTCCGTGCTGAAAGACAACAAATAATTACTTAAGCACTGTGTCTATTTCATTACAATATGAGCTGTGACTATATCCAGTCACTCCTACTGACAACCATATCAATTAATCAAAGCCGTTACAATGATGTGAAATTCCCAACAACTCATCCATGTGATTTGATTGTCTTTACCAACAATTAATTCTTTACTCTCCCATTACATAAACCACCTAAATGCTATTCTTCTAATCATTGTCGGCCTTTTAAATATCTTTAATATTTCTTTAAGAGTTGAAAAAAAAAGTACATCATAATTGGCTAATCTGTAACATTGATGCGTCACCATAAGATATATTATTAAATGTAGATTGTTTGATTTGTAAAATAAAAAATTATAAACGACTCTTCAGCAACCTGACTAATCTTTAAAAAATAAGTAACAAAAGGAGCAAACGTACAAAGATTAAAAAAAGGAAAAAGAATGAAAAGCATCAACTCGTGGTAAATTTATCACATGAATAATGCTGTAACTCTAGACAGGTGCAATACCAGGTACTAGAAAGCGTTTAAACTTGGCAATCCTGTAGCCCAAGAACAAAGAAAATGATCGAACCTGCTACAAATTCTAGAAACCAAAGCAAAACTAAAAGCTTGTGACCAAAAGAGTTCCTAATTGTTTAGCATAAAAAATAAAAATAAAAAAATAAAGAGTTCCTTAAATTGCTTGACTCGAGAACAACATACTACAGCAAGTTTAGCGGTATTGTGCATATATTGATAGGTGCCAACTATTTGGAGAGTATATTTATAGGCCTCGTTCACTTCATAGATTCGAGTTTTCAATTCGAGTTGAGATGTGATATTTTCTAAGAGCTTTTTACTGTAACAATAAAAGTTAAACGTGACATTTTCTGAGAGTTTTTTACTGTAAAAACTTAAAACTGAAAACTCGAATCAGTGAAATAGTGAGGCCATAATGTTTTAATCTTATATGTAATCTATTAAAAAAAAAACATATTTCTTAAGACTTCTTGGTCTAGTGCACCGGAGATTTGAGTAGGAAGTTTTGGGTTTAATTTCGTACTGTATCGAGAAAAAAAAGACAGAGAACATATTGATCATGAAAAGTTTCTAACTGTCAAATTTTAATTACAATTTTGTCATTTTCCGATGGGGTTTTTTTTTTTGTTTTTGTCATATTTAGTTATGATACGATCTAAACTTCATACAACGGATACCATTAATTGTTCTCTATCACATAATTTCTCTACTAATTATCCTATAAATATTATACGAGTCAATGGTAAGTGAAATCTGTCGGACAATTAAAGAAAACAAAAATCGGTAGGTACAATGCCCTACCATGATGCAAAAACAAAAATTGCATACTAGAAGTTCAGAAGCTTTTAGGAACTAATAAAAAATTGCATTATCATTTTATGTGTACTAGTTTTGTAGTGCCCAATTCATTTAAAATAATAATTTTACGCGTTATTTTTTTTTTAAAAGAAAAAATGACATCAATAAAAAAAATAAAGATAGAATTGAAAAAAAATATCTGAAGAAAAAGATAGGAAAAAAAATTATGAACAATTTAATAAGTTTTATAAATGATTTATTTATAAAACAATTTATAAACAAAAAAGATTAAACAATTTATTTTTTTATCAGGTCCTTAATTTTTTTCTTTTATTTTAAAAACAATTTATTCAATTTTTATTTTTTTTAATGAATGCTATGCTGATATGTCCACTTATATTGTTGCGTTTAAAATTAATTCTATTTAAGTTTGTTTAATTATTTTTTGTTTTATAAGATGTGATTTTATTATATTGTAGAGTGTCTTATTTTATTTTAGTGTGATTTTAATTAATCTTAATCTTTTCAAATTATTTATAGTAATTTCATCACAAGAGTATCAAAAATTTAAGATAAAACGGTGTTAAAACAGACAAAATCAGACCATAAATAATTCTAAAATAAATAAACACAATAAACAAAATAACAATAATATAAAGATAATACAAAATAATTTTTTTACAAAACATCCACTTCTCTCTCATGTGTGAGACCCACGCCCCACTCTCACTTTTTCACTCTTTTTCCGCTCTCTCTTCCCCCTTTGCACGTGGGGCCCTCTGCTCCCCATCTCTCTCTCTCATTCTCCACCAGAGCTCTCTCTCTTTTCCTGGGTGGGGGAACCACAACCTTTCCCTCTCTTGATATATGCCTATTCTATCCCACACAATACATCGCTGGTCATACAATCAGGACCATGAAAAAAAAATCAACGTATCATCATAATTTATTTCTTTAAACAAAAACCAATCTCACCTATATATTATTATAATTTAGATATCTATTGAAAGAAAAGAAAAAAAAAAAAAAACGGCAACATTTCTCAGAACAACCAAACAAGAACCGCCGCGAAAACCATGCAAAACTGGCTCACATTTTTAAACGACAACGAAACAGAACCAGACGAGTCGGAGCGATCGTCCTCGTTCTCGGGAACTTCTTTGGGATGATCGAAGTTGGACGGGACGATCGTCTCCGGCGCCGATTGTTCGTCGTCGTCGCCGCTGGACTGGGCGGCGACGGGGCCAGGGGAGTCCTGGTCGGAGGGGTCCTGGAGGCTCTTGGGGAGGCCCTGGCCGTGGGCGACGGATATAGCGAAGCGCTGGCCGCTGGCGCACTGATCGCCGTCATAGTCGCCGGAGAAGAAGAATGTCTTGCCTTCCTTGAGGAGAGGGACGGCGACGGTGATCGGTTGAGTGGCGGTGTTGGAAGGGTCGGCGGTGGACCACTGGATGGTGTCGTTGTCGGAGGCGTCGTCGTAGTCGCAGAGCCTGTAGGTTGTTGCGTTGTAGGTCTGGACCACTGAGTGGTTGGTGTTTGTGTTGAAAACTGCATTTTTTTTTTTGGCATTATAATAAGGTCAGATTAATAACATATGACTAAGTAACCAAAGGAAACTAACGTTAGAATATGAAAATATAATCTATAGATTTTTGTCAGCTTAACATATTTTAAAGTTCGGGAGACATAATTTTAGTTTGAGATGAGTTGTAAAATCACAACTTTTTTCTTTTTTGAGTTTGGAGTTCCTTGCAATAAAAGAATATATTCTAACTTTTTGAAGAGACTTGTGCATTTTTATTTTTATTATTATTTTTTTGATAATAAAGAGACTTGTGAATTGTCTCATTGTTCTTTAACTTCAAAACAGGCATTGTCTTATTATTTTGCCTTCTTATTTCAATTCAACCATTAAAGATATAATATTAAACATGTAGGTTTGGAGCATTTTGTATATCATTAATTACTGGTAAGACCACTAATAAATATAATTTTCACTTGGTTTTTTTGGTCAAATATTCCAATATAATTCTCTTAAAAAAAGTTAAACTATATGTGAACGTTTAGTTTATAAATTTAGAATCATAATTTAAAATTATTCTCATTTTATGTATATTTTTTATAAAAAAAAAATATTATAAAAAATTATAAATTATAATTTAAAATAAAAAACGAATATAAAAAATCAACATCTCCTGTATTGACAACTGGCTGTGCATGTTCATTAAGCAGAAAAACATCCTGCTTTTTATTTGTTTGAAAGTTATGACCAATTATTGAGTTTGTGCCGGCTTTGGTAAAAACAATCAATCCTAAATTACTTTTTGTCAGTGAAGATTTTAACAATATTAAACTCATAGAACCTCATACCCATCCTCATGGATAACCAATAACTTAAAATATTATTCTATTTAGCATATGACACCAACCGACTTCTTTTTTTAGAAAAAAAAAAATAAATAAATAAAAAGCCAAAAGGGAGTTTCTGATTCTCAACCGACTTTGATGATTTAAAAAAAATGGTACAAAAGAGGTCAGAGAATGTAGTCATAGATAGTAATAAAGGAAAGAAAATTAAAAAAAAAAGAAAAAAAAAAAAGAAAGATGAGTTGCGTGAGGTTGTGTGACTTGAACACAAAATTGTCAGAGCATTTGGCTACCACGTGAAGCACAGCTGGGCTTAGGGAAAATCCATGCCCCAAGTGTGTAAACCATAACAGATGTCACTTTCTTACTGCCTCAAACTGCGAGATCTACCGCTTTTTCTCACTTAACATTAAAATTGATGGAATTGTGGGATAGCATAACATTGGCATGTGTACTTGGACGACTAAAAGGACCAAAAAAAAAAAAAAAAGAAAGCCACATTCTATGTATTTCTAAAAAAGAGTGAAAGTTGCAACTTGCAATTTGAGTACAAATATCTCAAGGATTTTGTTAAAGAATTGGGCTCAAAATTCTTCCAAATTTTGGTTAAAAGATTTGTACCAAAACCCAGGAAAATAAATTTAAAAAAAAAAATACTATCTTGTAAAAAAAGATGAAGCAAAAAATGTTTTTTTGAGGTAAAAAGATGAAGCAAATTATATATAGAAACTAAACATCCAAAATCCATATGAAGAAAGATCCTACACATTAAAAGTTGTAATTGTCACAGAAAAATAATCTGGATAACTTGAAGGAAAAAAAAAAACACATGTTTCCAGCTTCCATGGAAATTGAACCAATTAAATTCAACAATCACTGACAAAAACATAATATTCTTGACCGTATTGAAAATCACCTTACACAGTGATCAAACAAATACTAGAATAGCAGATTATATATAGAGACAAAAAAAAAGTATAATTATTGAGAGATGAGCTTACTGAGGAAATCTCCCAAGCTGAAGTTCTTCTTATCAGCCCATTTCTGGTAATTAACATCAGGCTTCTCTGTGTTGTCGTACCACCCAAAGGAGTCCCCAACCGTGTAATTCTTGTAAGCTTCCGCGGATCTTGGAAGGAAAACGACAACAAAACTGAAAGAGATCATCATGGGCAAGAATGTTGGAAGGCCAGAAGCAGTGTCTCTTCTCAATCCCATTTTTCTTGGGTTCCGTGAAAACTTTAGAGGGGTTTGTTTGGTATGTGGTTCGGAGCTGTAGTAACGGAGGATTTTATCTTCAGAAGAGATTGAACTGTAATGCTGTTGGCTAGTTACTGTTTGTGTGATGTGATTTTAGCTCTTTATAGCTCTTTTTTCCTTCTTGTGGAATTACCAAAATGGTCTTCCAGTTTCGAGCTTGTCGGTATAATTTCAGAATTTGAGTTGAAATATGATATTATTTTAAAAAAATTTACTGTAATAAAATAAATTAAATATAATATTTTTTAAAAATTTTTAATTATAAAAATTTAAAATTAAAAATTTAAATTGATAAAATAAATGAAATTTTAATGAGATTTATTAGAAGAGAATATGTATCCGGCCAAAAAAAAAAATTCCAAGCAAAAGGGAGGTGGAGAACAGAGAGAGCAGACAAAAGTGGCCACTTAGCAGCATCAATATTACATTTTCTTTGATTAGTCTTATCATATATAATTAATGGATTAATCATGTGGATGGCTATCGTATTAAAAACTAGTTTGACTTTTGACCATCTTGTTTTGCATGGCTTTTGGAAAAGACTATTCTCATACTTTTTTTTTCTTTTTTTTTTTTTCCCTCACCTAAAGAAGAAGAAGAGGAGGAAAATCTCAGATTTGAGATTGCTTGTTTCTTCGGTCATGTTTTTCTTTTTATATACTAGTCTTGTCTCTTCAGTCTTTCAAAAGCGAGATAAGGCTAATCATAGGCTGCAAGATGTGTAATATACAATTGGTTGATTAATGGTTTTGCTGTTGAATTGAAGTTGATAATTGATCAAAATGTTAACGGCCGTTTAACATTACTGTTGTTTTTAGTTTTTTTTACAAGTTATAGTAGGTTTAGGCGTTTGATATATCTTGTTTTTATCCAATAAAATGCAATCTCAAAAGTGAATAAATAAGCTCGTTTGTTTCGCTCGTTCAAATTAAGAATTTGAGTTAAAAAGTGAATTTATGTGAAAAAAACACTGTAACAAGAAAAAAATTGAATTTAAATTTTTATAAAAGAAAATATTCTAACAAAAATTATAATTTAACCTTTTTGTTAACATTATTTCTCATATAAATTTAATTTTTAACTTAAATTCTTAATTTAGACTCGCAAGAAGAACGAGTCTCTGATCTAACGAGAATTGTAATGTTAGAGTAGGAATATATTTGTAAAAAATAAATAAATTGAGAAATTAAAGAGGAAAAAAATAATTTAAATGAAGTAAACAAAAAATCAATGAACGACAAAAATATAAATAGAAATAACTAAGAGGCAAAAACAATGTAAAAAAAAAGAGACCGAACAAAGCAGGAGGTGACGTGGAAGCACGGGACATCAACGTTTTGATGCTTTCATATTAGGTAGATTATTATCATTATGATTATATTATTAGGCATGGATTATGGATATGAAAACAAAAGAGTTTTTCTCTCGAAAAAGAAAACAAGGAGTTTTTGTTTCCACAACTTTAAACAAATTAATTAAACTGAAAAAAGCAAAGAACAAAACTAAAGTCGACAATATGTATGTAATTTTGTACTGCGTGGGAGTCGGGACTTCCAGCAAAAGCTTCTTCGTACATATTAGGTGAATCCGCAATACAATCTATTATTAGAGATTAAAAAAAAATCTCAATCTGTTAGACTACTAATCTAATTTAATCTACAACAGATTCTGCGAATTAGATTATACGGATTCGCAGATTAACTTACGTTTTAGATCTTAACTCTTGTTGTCTATCTTTTTTTTTTTAATATTCTCATAAATTAATAATAAATTAAACACAAACATAACATAACATAAAATTAAAATACATCTGCATAGTTATATTTATGTATTTTATAATTAAAAACCTATTAAATATGTTATTTAAACATATATAAAAAAGATATATATAGTTTAGATTGATAGATTATGCGGATTGATAAATGCTCAAGCCGTAACTCAATTTATTATTACATATTAGAAAAATCTCAATTCATTAGCAATTTAAAATTCTTTCAATTGAACCCGCAGTAACGGATTGAATTATACAGATTGATCAGACTAGCATGTTCAATGAACACTCCTAAAAGCTTCTTTAATTTCATTATTGAAAATTAATTAAAACTATAAATTAATCAATTGGAAATTTCAAGCTAATAATTCAGAAGTAATAATATATTATATTAGAGGGATGAAATCATCTTGGTACTCTCATTGTAGTGAAACATTTTGCCGAAATCTTGAATTTTAAATAGTATAAAAAGGGAAATTTCATCTCTAAAGAAATGTTATACCAAAAAGATTTTATCCTTATAATACATATAATAAAAAAAACATAAAGTTTATGAGTCTTTCCTTTTGGATTAATTACAAAATGTTCTCATAAATTATGACTCGTGTAACATTTTACTCCATAATTTTCAAAACGTACCACTTATTCTTCCGAATTATGAATTGTTAACAAAAATACTTCTTTCGTTAATATATCTGTCAGAATCACCACATGTCACCCAAATATTGATTGTTGCTAAACAATTTAATGTATAGTTGCTCTTCTATCCATGATTCTTAGATTTATATTTTTAAAAATAAATTTTAATTTTAATTAAAATGATAATTAATAAAATTAAGCAATAAAACACTGATGTTTAGTTTCTCTTCTAATTAACTTTTCCATTATTATAAAAAGTTCCAAAAAAAAATTTAAAACCAAATTCACCTCCTCTTGGGCAGTTTATCGTTGAGCTAACAATTGAGATTTTTTTTTCTAGGTCCACACAAATGGACCAAACTAATATAATTGTCTTGGACAAGAGATTTTTTTTTCTTAATGTGACGAAACACTTTGTACAATTGACGAACAAGGTCTATTAAATGAAATATATGACTCCCTATATTGCTTTTTATAATTTTTCTCATTTTTTTTTTTACTTTAAGCTATTATTTTTCTATTTAAAAATTCAGTTTTATATCTCAAAAAATTTAAGAAATATGAATAAAAAAAGAAAAAGGCAATAATAATAATTGTTTTTCATCATCTTATTATGTCATTAAAACATATGCTGATAGAAATGAAAAATATCTTATCAGAATATTAATAGCATAAATAATAAATTTAAAATTAAGCATGTCTTTTATGTGTATCTTCAAATAGTAAATGTGGGATTTAGTTTTAGTATGGCCGGTAATATGGGTCACGATACGACAACACGACTCGAAAATGACACGAATTTTGATGGTTAGGGTTGCGAAAAAAGAGGTTTGGGTCAGACTTGGGTCGACCTGAAATTGACACGAAAACACGTGTCAATTTTGGGTTGGACTCGTCTAACCCGACTACGACACGAAACTCGTAAAAAACTAAAAAATATATATTTTTCATTATATATTTTAGATTTTATTATGAACTTGTGATATCATGATAGTTATACTCAAAATCTTATACTATTATTTGCTTAATTTTTATGGATGTTATTATATTTTAGTGTGTTATGAATTTTAAGTTATTTCTAATATGTAAAAAAATTAAAGAAAAGCTTTTCGTGTCAATTTCGGGTTCACGGGTTAATTTCGTGTCACGAGTCATTTTCGTGTCGTGTCGTGTTAACCCGTAAGTGGTCGTGTCGTATTCATATTGTGGGTTTTAAAAAATTTCATGTCACGGATCGTGTTTGAGTTGACTGTAAATTTAATAAGAAAGGATTAAAATACGATACGAATATAATACGTGACACAAATTACCACTTCTAAGTTTCAGTTGATGGAATTCCAAATTGTTACTGGATGATCCTGTAGCAATTAGCGTAAATTTTCTCCTCAGGTGATTGTTTCTTTAGCCTATAAAATATCACCCTCAGTTGTAGGGAAATTTATGTGAAAAAAACACTGTAACAAGAAAAAAATTGAATTTAAATTTTTATAAAAGAAAATATTCTAACAAAAATTATAATTTAACCTTTTTGTTAACATTATTTCTCATATAAATTTAATTTTTAACTTAAATTCTTAATTTAGACTCGCAAGAAGAACGAGTCTCTGATCTAACGAGAATTGTAATGTTAGAGTAGGAATATATTTGTAAAAAATAAATAAATTGAGAAATTAAAGAGGAAAAAAATAATTTAAATGAAGTAAACAAAAAATCAATGAACGACAAAAATATAAATAGAAATAACTAAGAGGCAAAAACAATGTAAAAAAAAAGAGACCGAACAAAGCAGGAGGTGACGTGGAAGCACGGGACATCAACGTTTTGATGCTTTCATATTAGGTAGATTATTATCATTATGATTATATTATTAGGCATGGATTATGGATATGAAAACAAAAGAGTTTTTCTCTCGAAAAAGAAAACAAGGAGTTTTTGTTTCCACAACTTTAAACAAATTAATTAAACTGAAAAAAGCAAAGAACAAAACTAAAGTCGACAATATGTATGTAATTTTGTACTGCGTGGGAGTCGGGACTTCCAGCAAAAGCTTCTTCGTACATATTAGGTGAATCCGCAATACAATCTATTATTAGAGATTAAAAAAAAATCTCAATCTGTTAGACTACTAATCTAATTTAATCTACAACAGATTCTGCGAATTAGATTATACGGATTCGCAGATTAACTTACGTTTTAGATCTTAACTCTTGTTGTCTATCTTTTTTTTTTTAATATTCTCATAAATTAATAATAAATTAAACACAAACATAACATAACATAAAATTAAAATACATCTGCATAGTTATATTTATGTATTTTATAATTAAAAACCTATTAAATATGTTATTTAAACATATATAAAAAAGATATATATAGTTTAGATTGATAGATTATGCGGATTGATAAATGCTCAAGCCGTAACTCAATTTATTATTACATATTAGAAAAATCTCAATTCATTAGCAATTTAAAATTCTTTCAATTGAACCCGCAGTAACGGATTGAATTATACAGATTGATCAGACTAGCATGTTCAATGAACACTCCTAAAAGCTTCTTTAATTTCATTATTGAAAATTAATTAAAACTATAAATTAATCAATTGGAAATTTCAAGCTAATAATTCAGAAGTAATAATATATTATAT